CGCCCTTGACGCAACACTGCCCTCCAGCAATCCTGCTGTCCAGATTAGTTACTCTTTTGCTAATGCCATTCCCAAGTTTGGCTTCCTGGGATGGGGAATCAAGACCTATTCAGGAAAAAAGAAATTTGACAAGCAACCATAGGAGGTTCAAGAAGAACTTAAAAAGAGAAAGCGTTTGCATACAAACATAAATACCAGTTGGGACAAAAGGGGCTAGAAATGGAAGATTAAGTCTAACCAGTGGGAAGAAAAGAAATATCCTCACTCACCTTTTGCGTGATCGGCTTAATAAACAGGAGGTAGGAAACTGACACAGCATGGCCAGGCTAAAGCCCAGGAACAGTTCACAAGTTACAGGTCCAGCATATGGCCTCGTACTAGGAAAGATGGAGAGAGGATTCTTCCCCAGGTAGCATAAATTAATATCCTGGGGTTTTGTATGGTGAAATAGTCCTTACCCTGTCTCTAACCTACCCTACAATTTAATGGACCCTTTGCCATGTGCTGCTTGACCTTAAATGCTGAGCAGTTCTTGGTTGCTGACTTAATTGCAATCTTTGCCTTAAAAAGTCTGGCTCTCAACTGCTCCCCACCTCAATTACTGCTTCACATCATAGACTGATAGTGGTATTTATGCCACCTTTGTACCATCATGTAAGCCAGTGGTTCTCAACCTTTTTAATGCTGCGACCCCCAACCGGTCGTAAGTCGAGGTCTAAACCGTTCATAAGTCGAGGACTAAACCGTTCGTAAGTCGAGGACTACCCAACTGGTCGTAAGTCGAGGACTTTCCCTGCCCGGGAGCGCCGCGCATGAGTGGTTCCGCCCCCTGCGCCGGCCGAGGTGTAGCTGGCAAGCGGCAGAGACGGAGCAGGCCGACCACCAGCTGGCCCAGCCCAAGGGAGGTAAGGCACCCGTCGGAAAAGGGGAAAAAATGGCGGACAGCCTTGCTTGGCGACCCCCGTGAAATGGTCGATCGACCCCAAATGGGGTCGCGACCCATAGGTTGAGAACCGCTGATGTAAGCAGAGAATAGAGGGATGCCCTACTTTCATCCTAATTCTTTTCCTACTCAAAATCCCATTCCTGAGGCAACTGAAGCCAGATCATACATGGTATTTGTATGAGTCAAGATTTCAGTCTGTCTCTCTCATGAAGCAACTAAGGGATAATCCCACTGTGGTATTTTGAATACAGAAGTTGCTTATCTCGTAGCACGTAAGGGGAGAGAAGCCTTCATAGTCCCATGAATTGCCAATGATGATGAAGAATCTAGGAATGTTCTGGTGGTGATTCTGTTGGTGATAAAAAAAGGCGTGAGATGGATTCCTTGCCTATGGAGATGCAGCTATGACTTTATGCTACCAGCAGCAGAATTTGGGCCTGAATATAGAGAAAAGTGCAAAGAAAAGAGGAAATGATGTGATCTGGGAGCTCAAACAGTCCTCATGTCTCAGCCTCACCATTCACTGGAAGTAGAGAAGACTGCCTTGATTGGGGTTGTTGTGAAAGAGTGTCGGTGCTATGGTAAAAGGACTCCTGAACATTGCCTGGTCTTTACCAGAAGTTAGCTCGTCTATCTGTTCTTTGCTCTATGTGTGGTCTGGCAGAACACAGTATAGTTCAGATAAAAGACCCAAAACAGTGGGGACCAGATGATACAGAAAGCTGTAAAAGCCATTTGTATTAGTTATACTACCTAATTGTGCCATTTTCAAATAGGTCGGAGGGGGAAACTGCAGAATCCAAGAAGTGGTGGAGTTCCCATCCATCCAGAGGAAACTTAGCAGCATTTCTAAAGCACTTTTTTTCTCTAGCAGGAACTGAGCCTATAGTTTGTTGCTCAGCTTGGCTTTGAAAGCCCCATAGATGCTTCCTTAGGGATCAAGTATGCTAATTTCTGGATTTGTTCTTTGCTTCCTTACTTGTGTGTTTGCTGTGTCCAGATACTTCTTGACTCCTGAAGGTAGCCAGAATTTGGTCTTGGACACCTGTGTTTGTAAGTCTCAAGGTATTGTTAGGTACGGTGCCTATTTACTGTTCTATGCTTGTAATTTCATATGAGAGTTCTTAAGATGGCTGTTTGCAAAGAAGCACTCTCTCTGTGTATAATTTTTTCTCTCTCTCATTATCAGACCTTCTGTTTATGAGCTCTGATGATCCACAACATGCGGGGAGAGAAATCCTCTTACCTAAGTGGTAAAATCTGTGGAATTTATGGATGCCAGAAGAGCATCTGAAATTCTGCTGTAAGGTGTCTGTTGTTTCCTTAATCTCTTAAGCTTGCAGATAAGAAGTGCAGGATTATTTCTGCATTATATTTCTTTACCCTCCTTCTGGAAATAATATATGTCAGGACTTATCTCTTACTTGTATACAAGAAAATAATAGCAGAGAATCCCTAAGTGTATCCAGAGAACATTTTTCATGCTACTAAGAAATGCATCCCAATCCCTCTGTAATATAAATCTCTTTGTATAAACTACAATGGGGAAATCAGGGCCCCCAAATCAAAGAGGGAGGTGTCTGCTTTCAATTATTGACTGATTCTCTTTTTTCTTCCCAGCTGTAATGTGTTGCATCCTTGTGAATTCTCTTCTTGAAGGAAGTTGTGAAACTGACAGCATTTTTAAAGAAGTCTCTCAATATTGCCTCTAAAAAGATGCTGTCTTAAGACTCTTACATCATGTTTTTGAAGATCCTAATAATAGAGGGCTTGTCAGGAGATAACTAATTTGCATACTGATGTAGAGTGGAAATGTTTAATTTATGTTTAGTTTATATTTTGTTAACAAACCTGGAAGTGTTTCCTACCTGGGGTGTTTCATTATTTAACTTTCCAGTGAATAACACGGCTGAAAAGTGTATGAATATATTCCTGTTTTCTGACCAAATAGATATTAATGTGAAGTTGAGGGGAATTGAATTATTGCAGAAGCACACAGTAGTTTTTGTACAGATGTATAGGTAGTCCTCAATTTACAACCACAACTGAGCCCAAAATTTCTGTTGCTAAGTGAGACATTTGCTAAGTGAATTTCCCCCCATTTTGTCTCCTTTCTTGCCACAGTTGCTAAATGAATCCCTGCAGTTGTTAGCGACAGTAAGTGAATCTGGCTTCCCCATTGACTTTGCTTGTCAGAAAGTCGCAAAAGCTGATCACATGACCCCGAAACACTGCAGTTGTCATAAATATGAACCAGTTGCTAAGCATCCAAATTTTTATCAAGTGATTATGATGCTGCAATGGCCGTAAGTATGAAAAACAGTCATAAGTCACTTTTTTCAGTGCCATTGTAAACTTTGAACGGTCACTAAACGAACTGTTGTAAATCAAGGACTACCTGTATTTATTCTTGCCATAAGTAACTTTGAGTTGTAAAAACAGATGTCAATTCATAACAGAAGCTGAATGAAAATAATACTAAATGGACTGCTCTCTGTGCTAAAAACTCATCCCCCCATTTATATTTTCTTTTTAAGTAGTAAAATTGATGAAAAGACCTTTTATATTTTAAAAATCCACACCATGGTATTAAAAATACTGAGTGGTTCATTCACTAAATCATGAGGATTGATAATTCAATATCGACTTAGTGTGACCACCAGAGAAGATTACGCTCAGTCTAAAAGCAAGATTGCAAATGTATTCTTTGCTTTGGAAACTAGATAATAACTTCTTTGATAGAAGAGAAAAGCTAACTGAATGGGACTCCATGTTGCAATGGTCCTCCTTTCAGCTTTTCCTAAAACCATTATTTATTCAGCAGTGCTTATATCCAGCCTTAATCCTAGTGGACGCTGGGTGGCAAAAAAAAAACCTTGTAAAAATAATAAAACAAAGCAAGGAAAATAATTGCAGCTATTATAGAAATAATAAATCAATAGGTGAATAAAATTGCCAAATCCGGTCTCAACATCTGACTGTGCAACCAACCATAATACAATAATATAATGAAATGATCATGTCATACTCACATATCTCTGGCCTAACAATCAATTTGGAATAATGGCTTCCAGAAATAGATTTCATCTCTCTATGAAATGGAAAAATTGCAAGAGCCACATAACTCCATAGCGAGAAGGTTCCAAAGAATGGGGCTGCCACAGAGAAAGTCTGCTTTCTCACTTACATCTCTTGAAGGAGAATCCTTTAACAGGCCTTCTCTGTGTGTCTGAGCCAGGAGGGAAGATTTTGTTCTAGCAAGGCATTGCCTGATGTAGGATCTAGGACAACTCAGCGCAGCCAAATTGGCTTGACCTACTTGCCATAGCCAACTCGCTGGGTCCAACTCGCTGCGGGAAAACTTGTGGGACAAGAGTTATGCTAATATCAAAAAAATGAGGGAATAGACTCATTTAAAAAATGATGTAAATGGAAGGACAAAATGAAATGTGAATGACAGAAATTACAATATTTTTTAAATTATTTTAAACAATTAAATTGAATTGTTGAATTGTCTCTCAGCGAGTTGTCTCACAGTGAGTTGGCCGCACCATTCCGCCTGAGGTATCCTGATGTTGCATCAAATAACACTTTGATTTAGGCCTGGAAACTGCATCAATAATAAATGCAACAACATCAGAATTGGTGTTACTTGACATTGGCAAGATTATTCCACAGGTAGTTTAGCCACATATTTTGTACTAGTTGCAGCATCCAAATCGTCTTGAAAGAGAACTATCTCCACATAAATTACACTATAGTAGGCAACTGAGTGGTAATCAAGATGGGATTTACTTACGGTGGGCATCCTGATCCAGGTATGGTTGTAACTGATGTGTCAGCCAAAGCTGCGTGAAGGGTCTCTGGTCATGGCTTCCAGCTGCTACTGAAGTAGCTGCTATAGGTTCAGGAAGACCCACAAACCAACATTTTCAGGAGGAGCGCAACTCCCACCAGAGCAATGTTTTAGGAAAATGGCTCCAACCTAAGATGAGTTACCGAAACTTTTGTTCTCCAAACCTTCCTCTCTGCTATAATCTGTACTTCACTCTCAGAAATGCGCTGGCAGATGGGGGAGCAAGTCCGAGGTCTTGACTCTCAGGCAGAGAGTCGGCAACAGTTGCTCCAAGATGTGGCTGACTTCCTGCGCCGGAAGGCTGAAGTGGAACAAGAATATTCCCGAGGACTTGAGAAATTGTCTGAACGCTTCTCGGCTAAGATACGTGGCTCCAAGGAGCATCAGAATTTCAGGTTAGAATTTTTGGATTCTTCAGGGGGTGTTGAGAAGGAACTTCTGCAGAGACAACTTGAGAGTGGTGATTGCATGGGAAAAAGCTGGAAAAAAAAACCATAGAGACATTATTGAACAGTAAGTTTCAAGAGTTTGACTCTTGGAGTTTCCTGGCAAGGGTTTGTTTTGTGTTTAAGTCAGTGCAGTGGTGATTATATATTATTATATATGAGACATTACAGCAAGGAGCTATACAGGAAGAAATAGAAACTTCATGAAATGGTGACCAGTAAGCCTTATTGTTGTAATGTTTCGTATTAGCCCAGTTTCCTGTCGGTGTGCTTAGGTTCACACCATCATGCGTCATCCCTGCCCCTTCTCCTTTTTGTTAGAAAACTGATTAATCTTTCCCAGACTTCCAGGCTCTTGGGAGAGCTAAAGATATGGGATGCACTCCCTCTCATAATCCCTTTGACCTTTTACATATTCTTCAGTCAATACCCCAATTCAGTTTTAGTGGAGCAAGTTTCATAACCCGTGAATCAGTTTCATACTTCTGATAGAAAACTCCTGGGGTTGACTTTTTTTTGTCAATTAATATGAGCCCTCCTCTTAGGAATATTTCATAAAGAAAATTGAAAGTACAACAATATTGACCTATATTTTATGTAACAGCATATGAAAACCATAATTGCTTTAAAAAGTATTACAAAAAAATCCCTGGATATTTGAAGAATAATAGTCAGGAGAACAGGTTGAAACAGATGTGGTGCTTGACATGAATGAGGTGCTGATCATACTGACAGAATATAGTACCCATATAGTGGCAGTAACTGTAATTTTATTTGCCATAAGCTTATAACTAAGTGCACTACAAATATAGAATAAAACATTGATTAATACTTTAACATAATTATAATTGATCAGAATTTCATAATATAGAAGAAGGATCTCCAAATGTAAAGGTCCAGAGTATATAATAATATCAATCTGTATTCATTTACCTGTCTTAGGCAAGAAAGCCAGGTGAGTGACACTGAGCCAGCTCCTCAATCCTAGCCCTGTGAAGAAACCAATGGCCATTTTCAAAATCTTATCAAGAAAACTGCAAAGGCTTATTTCACCCTGCTTGGTTCTCATGGGTGGTGACCTCCTCTGAGAAATTAAGCAGAAAGTATCAATCATATCCATGAAATACCTTTCTTAAAAGCAGTTTTGATATTGCTAAGGAAAGCTAGATTTTGCTTATTTTATTTTTAAAAAAATATTTCTGGAGGTGGTCACCAGTGGAGAAAACAACTGATGGGATGGCCGAAGATGGATTGCTGATGGAAGGGCTGATGGCAGGGGTTAAGACTTTCTATAGCAGGATGATTAATGACATTATCTGCAACTAACTTTGTGTGACCCTACATTATATTCAACAATTTATCCCAGAGGATACAAATGCTTCATATTATGACTAGATTGGAAGCCAGTTTGGTCTAGTGGTTAAAAGTCCACAAGTTCTAGTCCTGCCTTAGGCATAAAAGCCAGCTGGGTGGCCTTGGGCCAGTCACTTTCTCTCATCTCTGGGAAGTAGGCAAAATCTTCTGAAAAATCTTGCCAAGAAAACTGCAAGGACTGGTCCAGGAAGTCTCCAAGAATCAGACACAATTGAATAGAAGGAAAAAATGACTAGGTTACTTCACCAGCAATACTTGGTTTGATGCACCAGTGTGATGTGAGCACACGAACAGCAGCTCTCCTTCTTACGAGGAAAAAATGTGTAGATGCATAGTTCCAACAATAGGTTGAACATGGAAGTTGAGCAGCAGGAAGAGTGAAAGATGCCTAAATCTTGTTACTACATTGCTGTAGTAGATGGGACAATAGAACAGACAATTATCAGCCATGTTTGATTGTTTTTGTTTGTATGCAGTACTTTAATCTTAAAGTATCTATGATGCAAATGGGTGAAACACAACACAGCAGTCATGTTAGGCTATGACCAAGGTTTGATCATTGTTGTCAGGTCCAAATGGTTTAGGAATGGTCTCAGTTGGTACCCTAAATGTGGTTGTGCAAACAAACTCCTTGCCACTGTTACAACCATGGAGAGGCAGCTTTGGATCTCCCCCCACCCTGCAGACCTCCTCTTTCAGAGTTAGTATAACCTGATCTGGAACAGCCTGACCACATTTCCATAGCCCAACTACTTCCTGACTGTCTATTTTTAGACAGTTGACGTTCATCCAGCACACTACCAGACTTGGCCAAGACCAGTCTCAGGTACTAACTACTTCCTTGGAATTAAATGGTGGAGAGCAATAGAACAAAAAAAACCAAGAATTAGGAAGAGAAATAAAAGATAAAAGCTAAGGATGCAGATACTAAGTGCATTATTCCTGCAGTAAGAGATTAAAAGGGCTTCCCTCTTTACATGCAGGAAGGATCAGAATCTCCCTTCTCCTTTGAATTGCTGGTATACAATACTGAATCAAACACGGCAGGCAAGCCGGGATCATGGAGCACTGAGTGAAATCTACACAGGGCATTTGGTGCTTCGGTTGGTGCACATCAGCGAGGATGTGGGGCGATTGGCCCGGAAAGTAAGTGCTTTGGAGTGAGAGCAAGGTGGATTCCATTCTCAAGTCAGCTTGATATGTCTGTTAAAGTTAGATTTTGTACAGAATCCGAGACGTGAACAAAGGCTGCTTCTTTGTAGCTCATACAGTCCCTCGGCCTTGCTCTTGCTGGAATCTCCCTTTGCCCTCAGCCAGTTATTATGCCTGATTGAAAAGGGGAAGTGGACAAAAAGAAGAATTGTTATGATTCTCTGGCTTCTGTGTCAAAATATTTTCCCTAGTTTTCTCCTGATCAGTTCAGAGGTTGGCTACTGTTTCTGTGATTGTTAAGTAATCGTGGGAAATATTTTCTCATATCCAGTTCCTTACCTGGCAAAGCAGTGCTTGGTGACCTGGAACATGGTTGTGAAATACCAGCACCAAAAGCACAGGTGTTGTGTATGGAGAGGCATGCCACTATGAAGGATGGGCTCAAATATACTCTGAGCCCAATGTGCTATTTCTATTCAGTATCTCCTTGAGATCTCTGTGTGCAGCTCCATACTCCCTCTGAGTTTTGTATCTTGCTCACCACAAGTTCAAAGTCATGCACAATTCCTATGTTTTTTATTTGGCTCTTAACACTAAACTACCTTCTAGATTCTGATCTGCAAACAATGTACTCACAAATCCAGCACTTTGCAAGCCTTCTCTTTGTCAATGGATCACAACTCCTGATTATTTAAGTCTTACCTATATAGGCAAAGAAGACAACTATACTCAATAGATGAACATTTGCCATTCAAAAAGTATAAGATGGCTCAGCACATGCTGCCTTCAGCCAAGCATTTACCACCCTGTAAATTGAATGCATGAGAACATTATAATTGAGAACTCTCAAAGAGAAGAAAATTGAGTGGCCAGGCCCAAATGCTCCCATGAAGTGTTAAATGTAGCATAAAACAGGCAAACCTATCAGGCAAGCTATCCTCTTAAAGGATTCAGGTATTCTCTAACCTTGGTTTGATCCAATGGGATTGTTAAGAAGGTGTTAGTCCTGCTAGATTGATCAGGTCAGGAAACAGACACTGCAAGCAATACTAGGATTCTGTTTTACAGAAACAGGCTGTGAAAACTGGAGAATGAGTTTGGTGTAGTGATGAAGGCATCAGTATAGAAACTGGGACACTGTGAGTTCCACACCCATCTGAGGTTCAAGGCCAGCTGGGTGACTTTGGGTTAGATATTCTTTCTCAGGCCTAAGAAGGAGACAGTGGCAAACCACTTGTGAAATCTTACCAAGAAAACTGCAGGGACTTGTGCAGGCAATCACCACATGTTAAAAACTGACTCAAAGGCACACATACAACTGTATTGTGCTTTTCTAAGGAATGAATGACTTGGTGTGAGCACCAGGCTAGTATGTTTCCATCTCTCCCTTCTCTTCCTTTTTCATACTATAAGGAGGACATTATGTTGTCAGCAAATCACAGTTCTCTGAATGTAGGGCAGCATGCAGAATGAAGGTTTGGTGTTTTTTGTGTGTGATAAGTTATTTTTTAAGACCTTACTTCTTTGAGGTTAGACATACACCATCATAAAACAGGAAACCGTGTTTTCCTATTACATCTGAATTTGCTTGTATTCAACCATTTCTTGCTAGGATAGTTTGTAGTTTTATGCAGTGAGAGTCTGAATTGACTGCCCTTTATCGTTTTTTAAAGTATATGTAGACTGCTTATGTAAATCCTTTGTGTCATTGGAGGGAAGCCAAGAACTGCCTGAGCACTGAAGACCTACCTACCCTTCGGTCACTGGAAATCCTTGTTAATCACTGCCATGTTTATGATTATTCTCAAGCATTGCTTGCTGACTTGCAACTATATTTCCATAACAATAAGGATTAAATACTTGTTTTCTTAAAAAATAAAGCTGATATTCTCAGCCTGCTACAATTACAATGTCTCTGTTTTTTCCTATAGTTGAGTAGACTATGCACAGCCAAGGATGCCTATCTTAATTTTTCCTCCCTTTTTCTCCTTGGTCAGAGCAAAGAGATGGAACAGCAGATGCAGGATGAGCTCCTGAAGGCAATTTCAGAGTTGCAGATGGTAAGTGGGGAAGAAAGTACCTATCCTGCAGTTGTCATCTCATTTAGTCTCATTCTAAGACTGTGATGCCCCTTTTCCCAGACTATGCATTTAGGATGGAAGGGGCCACTGAGGCCATCAAGTCCAACCCTCTGCTTGGAGCAGAAATTCATATTCAAGTATTCCCAACAGATGGCTGTCTAGTGTTGCCTTGAACAATACTAGTAATGGGGAGCGCACCATCTCTCTAGGCCAGAGGTCCCAACCTTTTGGCAACCAGGGACTGGTTCCATGGAGAGAGGTTTTTCCGTGGACCGGAGATGTATGGTTTTGTATGCTGCCTGCATCTCACAGATGGGGCTTTGCTTGTTTGTGCGGACCGGTTGCTGGCATGCCACAGCTCGGTACTGGTCCACAGACTGGGGGTTGGGGACTCCTGCTCTAGGCAACTGATGTTGCTGCCCAAGTGCTCAGGAAATTTTTTCTGATACTTAGTTGAAATCAGTCTTCCTGAAATTTAACCCATATTTTGTTTTCTGAGAAAGAACAAGCCTGGCCTCCATCTTTGTGGCATCCTTTTGTATATTTGAAGAGTGCTATTGAATCCACTCTCCCTTGTTTTTTCTAGAGACTAAAAAACCCAACCTCCTTAAATCTTTCTTCCTGATGTTTAGTTTCTAGTCCCCAATCATCTTGATTGCCTTTCTTTAAATCAATTTCAGTTTTATGAATCCTTTTATTTGTGGTGCCCCAGACTGGATACAGTATTTAAAAAAAGGTCTAACCAAAGCAGAATTCAGTAGAACTAAATAGTTACTTCTCATGATTTGAAAATTGTACTTCTGAAGAGGTAATCGCCTCTGCATTTTTGTAGCCACATTTTACTGTTGGCTCAAATTCAGCTTATTTATTCCTCTAAAGTTATGATTAAATTTTGTCCTTCTTTCTTAACAAAGATTGGCAATTTTGAGCTGTTTAGCTTTTGTCAATTTGTAGGCTATGAAGTCATACCAGACATACCGCATTGATTGTCTGAATGCTGAGGCAAAGCTGCGTGAGGCTGAACGGCAAGAGGAGAAACGCAGTGGCGGAAAGCATTCTGATCCTAGTGGATCCCCGGGTGGGGCAGGACTTGACAAAAACCCCCGTCGCACTTCACTTCGGAAGGTGGAGCGCCTCCTGGAAAAGGTAGCTAGAAAGTGGGGATGGGAGTGCTGGAAATTGTGATCATACAGACCGGGTCTTTTTGTAAAGAGGCTAGTACTGTTCACTGAATATACTAGGACTTACATTGGCGTAAATTAGTTTGATTTAGAGCTGTGGGGCTATCAACCTGTTCACAGAGCATGCTTTACTGGATCAGGAGAAAAGGCATTTGCATAACATAAATTTGTGTGTGTTAGTTCTTAGTTTTTTTTGTGGGTTAATGTGTTTTATGAACACACTCGGTTTGTTTGTGGCTCAGTATATTGGATGACAAATGCAGAAAATTTAATAATTAGGTTAAATATGTTGTGTGAGTGCAGCCCATAAGTCCTAATCTTTCTTTCCTATTTTGAGCTGGAGAGTTTTAGGGAGGAGGGATCTGTAGTTTATTGTTCCTGGGAAGAGGCAACTCATGGAGCTTTTCATTCCAGCTTCAGGGGTAGGGACCAGGGGTAGGGACCAAGAGATGACCAGAGGCTCCTTTTCAAAAGTGCACCAGAGAATCTCCCCGTATAAGGGGGAAAGTTTTGGGAGACCACAGATTGGGTGGCAATTGAGGTCAACCAAAACCTGTGACCATCTCCTACCTTGCAATGATTTGAGCCAGTAAGTTCAGACCACAAGCCAGTTCCTTTTTCTTTGGTTCTTTCTTCCGCTGTTGGTGGGCTGATATGAAACTTTTGTGAGGCAGGTTAGTTCCATCCCACAAGGCTGTTTTTAAATAAGAAAACGGATAGCACTTGTCTATAAGAAACACTAGCATAGGTTACAAGTTCTCCCCTACTAAACACACTGTTGTTCCAACATTCACGTAAATCCGTTAATCATTTTAGGATGCTAGTGCAAACTGAGCTCACCCAGATAGCAGCCCATTGAGTTTGCCAGAATTTCCTTTATGTCCCTTAGAAATGTGGAAGAAAATTTGTTTAAGTCCTAAGGATTCGACTTTCTTGCAGTCATGGAGGATACATCGGTCTTAACGTCTTGCATCTAAATGAAGTTCATGCTGCAGCTTTGCAGCTTTCACTCTTGAGGTGATGACAGATTGGCCTAGATTATATTGCATGAATCCATTTGATCAGTGCTTACTATCGTTAGTTCCTATTGTATGTATTTTATTATTTCCCCCCCTAAAATATTTCAGTTTGTTTTTCATTTGAATTATGCCGCTTATATATGTTGTATGTAGAAAAAGTTCTGAAGTGATTTATCTTGGTCTGATTTTTTTTTACATCTCAAAACGTGCCATTTTAACAATGGAAACAATGGAATTGCTGGGGTGGTGCAAGGTAGACCAGTGGTTCTCAACCTGTGGGTCGGGACCCCATTTGGGGTCAATCGACCATTTCACGAGGGTCACCAAGCAAGGCTGTCCGCCATTTTTTTTGTCTGCCATTTTTTTTGTCCGCCATTTTTTTCCCCTTTTCCGGCGGGTGCCTTACCTCCCTTGGGCTGGGCCAGCTGGTGGTCGGCCTGCTCTGTCTCTGCCGCTTGCCAGCTACGCCTCGGCTAGCGCAGGGGGTGGAACCACGCATGTGCGGCGCTCCCGGGCAGAGAAAGTCCTCGACTTACGACCTGTTGGGTAGTCCTCGACTTACGACTGGTTTAGTCCTCGACTTACGACCAGTTTAGTCCTCGACTTACGACCGGTTGGGGTCGCGGCATTAAAAAGGTTGAGAACCACTGAGGTAGACAGTGTGTTTGCATTGTCCCTACTCACAGAGGAGTCCTGAATCGCAGGAAATAGGATATTGGTATTCTTCAATTTATAACTGGTTGCTTAACAACCATTTGAAGTTATGTTGGATTTCCAAAAAGCTACTTATGAATGGCCCTTGAAGTTACGATTGCCACACACATTCCATGGCCATGGGACCGCATTTCATGCATTTGGCATCCACCTTGCATTTCCAACTGGTTGCAGCATCCTGCAGTCTTGTGAAACCAACTGAAAATAGCAAAAAACACTCATTGGATTTGTTGGATTCACTTAACGATCATAGTGTCTCTATTACGGTCATAAAACACTTATAAAACCGAGTCCAGTGATTTTCTTCAGTGATTTTAGAGATGATCTTCTCCCTTCTTGCTCAGTGATTTACCACACAATGTCTGCTAGGAAGGAGGTTGTTCTCGTTATGAGAAATTGTTGCCATTATTTATCAGGACGAAAAGAACGCTGTTTGCAAAAGTACTAAGTGGAGCAAAGTGGAGGGAAGAAGGAAGGACAGCCTGGAATTTAAAACCTAATGATTTCTTGATCTTCACAGAGACAGTCAAAATTCCTGGAAAGCAAGCTGAAATGTGCCAAGGCTCGGAATGATTACTTGTTGAATCTACACACTGCTAACTCTGCCATGAGCAACTACTATGTACGCGATGTGGCCGACCTGCTAGATGTGAGTCGATTCTGTCCATGCCCATCCTGTGTCAGCAATATAGGGGTTAGCACTAAAATGTTGGCTGCCAAAACATTGGCTTCCTATGGATTCCTTTTGTCAATGTTTATATAAAGGCATGAGTCCATGTATATGACAAATGTATACTAGTCTTCTTCCGTTGTAACTTCATGGCTTGTCTAAAGTATCCTGCAACCTTCGGTATGATGGGAATGTTGAAATTGCTGATAGGTTTCGTGCACTCTCTTCACAGAACTATAGTTCCAAAAAGGGTTTTGGACTAGGAGAGAGTCCGCTGGATCAAGGCTGTGGGACGTAGGTACCTTTTAAAACAGGGGTCCCCAACCTCCAGTCTGGGGCCCGATGTTGGGCTGCAGGCCGTTGGGAACTGGGCTGCACAACTGGCAGGCAAGAGTGTGCACTCAGCTGCATTTGTGCAAGCGGTGCACGCGCATGTGAAATCATCTCCTCTTCTCCCCCTCCCCGCCTCCGCCTCCGCCACCGATCTGCAGAGCCAGAAAGATTGGGGACCGCTGTTTTAAAAGATACAGTATAGAGAAGTTGGCTCGTTTCCCTGTAACTCTTAAATGGTTATTTTTGGAAAAGGCAGTGTCTACCATATTTTAACAGTTATTTTAATGGGGGCATTCTCCATTTAAAAATGATACAGGTCTAGCCCTCACAGATGAAAATGGAAAGCTTGAAAAAGATACTGGGATAATTTTGCTAACCAACTGAAATAGGGTTACTGTAACTTGGTTACAAAATTTTAGATGACTATTAGGTGGCAACAAAGAGTCAGAGTTTTCCGTGTTAGGATATAATTGTCCAAATTGAAATATAAATTTCTGATACGAAGCTTCAAGGGCATTCTACTTGGCTGGCTTTCTTCCTGTGGTCCTAAACCAGGAAATGTTATAGATTTCTAATCTTACAATCACAAAATTCCAAATCCTGCAGAATTTCTTTCCTTTCTTGCAGAATCTACTGCACACTTTATCGTGACTTTGTTTCTTCACTATTATCAATTTCATAATTGGTTCTGCATTTATAGCAAATGATCATTTGCAAGTCATAGAAAAGATGGACTGACAACAAAAGTTGTGCCTGTTGTCTTATTGTGCAGCCATTGGAAAAGATATGGGGATCAGTCAACAGTGGAGCCTAATGACCATCAGGCTGGTTTGATAACTAAAGATATCTTTATCACATGGTTCCAGTGTTTTGACCTTGGTTTCCACCTTTCGCTGGGCAAAGTACTGAGGACCTACCTAGCCGCAGAGTCACGGGCCCAAGCATCTTGGCAACAGGGCCTATGCGCCATTGAAGGGGCAGTTGATGCTTTGGATCCATTGGGAGATAAGTCCAGGATGATGGAGGCCAACCCTGCAGCTTATTGCCCTCCTCTGTCATTTGACTACCAGCCTCATGAAGGTGATGAGGTGAGAAGATTCTCAGCTTCTTGTTCTAGATTTTTTGCTTTCTGCTCAGGCTGGCCCTTATTCTTCCTTTTTTGTAATTTTTCTATCTTCAGGTATCTGAAGTCCGGGCTGAGGGTCCACTGAGAAATGAACTAGTTTCCCGTTTCCAGCACATTCAGTCCCGCCTCAATGCCATCACCCTGGAGACAGATGAAGTAGGTGCCATTAGAGAGTGAGGAACAGTTGAGAGGGGGTGGGCAGGAATTAATTTTCAGGTTTTAATTTCAATTTCAAAAATCAATTTTCATTAATTTTGGGAACTGCAAAGGAGAAGTGCTGGGGTGGCAGAAATTTCCTGCCACTGACTGTCCTGCAGATGCCTTTCCCATTCCCTTAGTGCTAGAGCTGAATTCCATCAGAATGTAGCTGGTCTCTTAGGAGGACCTTTCTGCTGTAGAAGGTTCTTGGTATAGAAATTTCTATTTTCTTTCACAGGTCAACAAGACTCTGAAGGCTACCTTGCAAAGTCTGATAGATCTTGTGACAGCAGAGGAGCCAGAGGCACTTGATGCCTTTCAAGGCTGTCAGTCTACAGAGTCACTCAAGTCCACCGGTTCTGATGCTGGTGGGAAGCAAGCATTGGCAAAACGCCGGGCCAACCAGCAAGATACGGAAAGCTTCTATATCATGGTAGAATCCTAGATACCTAAAAGAATTAAACTTAATGTGCCCTTAATTATGCTGTCATAAAGATGAGGATGCCGTCATAAAGATGACCATAACCTAATACATCTAGATAGTTATGCTGCCTCACTTAATTTTGTTTAAATTAATCTAGATTTCACTAGAACTTGTTTATGATAACGCACCCTCCTCCTATTTATATAAGACAACATGAGGTCACTTTTGCTATTGATAGGTCTCTACAATGATTTCTCTATGAAATCACTGATAGGGTGTTACCCTGAACTAATCTCTGCTTGAGCATCTGTCCAGCATCTTCAGAGATGTTCTGAGCAAGACCTATTGCCAAAGACCCTTCCTTCAGCCCCATTCTGGAAACATAGGCAAAAAGAAAGTGGCTTTGGATTTTCTCTTCCAGAATGGAGAAACACAAATATGCTTTAGAGTGAGAATCTCTGACCTATTAGGTACTATAGAGAACTGGAGTGAAAATAAAATGATAGAAGATTGATTTGAATGAAAACCAGTTTCTGACTCTTTTATTCAATAGTGGAATGCCTTCTAGTTTTGAAATTGGCGATTTAGCTCTTTCCAATTATCTAAGTAATCTAGAAAAGAGACCGGGCCACTTTCTTGCATTCTAAATGTGGCTAGATGCAACAAAACTCTAAATATTTGTGAAGGATGAAAGATAAGTTCTGTCCCATTCAGTCTTCCTGGTATGGTTCCAATTTATTGAAAGCTTCAGAAAGATGTCTTGGATTTGATCAGTATATAGAGGTATTTGTCCCATTCAACCTACTGCTTTCTTTGATAACAGATTTCATGCTATCTCTTGCACAGAAATTCAAAGAATATCTCTCTGGACGAAGTATTCAAACAAAATTGCAAGCAAAGCATGACCAAATGAAGGAAGCGATAGAGAAAGGTGAGGTGTGAAGGAATAGACAATATCTGTACTCTTTGATTAGCATTGGTATTTAATATATTTGTCCATCCATCCACCCACCTACCCATCTGTCCATCCAGCTTCTAAGGACTTGAGAAACACCTGATAATATCTAAAAGAATAAATCACTTTGTCATGCTTTCTCCCAAAATATCCTCAAAATTACGGGTTGCTGAAAAAGTTTGCCTTGGTACCCTTTTCATAGAATTTCTGATCCCAAGGTTCTCTGTGGAAAAGGTGGTGCCTGACCTCAATACCTGGGAAGATTTTGGAAAAGATAAATCAAACAACAAATCAGCGAACACTTAGAGGCAAACAAAGTCATTACTAAAAGCCAACATGGGTTTGTCAAAAACAGATCATGCCAGACAAATCTTATTGCATTCTTTGACCAAGTGACAAAATTAGTGGATCAGAGGAATGCTGTGGATATAATTTACTTGGACTTCAGTATGTGGGTTAGACAGCATCACCACCAGATGGATCCGTAGCTGGCTGACCGGCCGTACTCAGCGTGTGGTCCTCAATGGAACCACATCTACATGGAGGGAAGTGTGTAGTGGGGTGCCCCAGGGCTCTGTTCTGGGCCCAGTGCTCTTCAATCTCTTCATCAACGATTTGGACAAGGGGATAGATGGGGAAATCACCAAATTTGCAGATGACACCAAGCTGGCAAGAATAGTCAACACTCCAGAAGACAGGCTTAAGATACAGGAGGATCTGGACATACTTGAACACTGGGCGCTATCTAACAAAATAAAATTCAGTGGTGAAAAAAGTAAGGTTCTACATTTAGGCAAGAAAAACCAAATGTACAGGTATAGTATAGGGCAGCGGTTCTCAACCTATGGGTCGCGACCCCATTTGGGGTTGATCGACCATTTCACGAGGGTAGCCAAGCAAGGCTGTCCGCCATTTTTTCCCCTTTTCCGGTGGGTGCCTTACCTCCCTTGAGCTGGGCCAGCTGGTGGTCGGCCTGCTCCGTCTCTGCCGCTTGCCAGCTACACCTCGGCCAGCGCAGGGGGCGGAACCATGCATGCACGGCGCTCCCGGGCAGGGAAAGTCCTCGACTTACGACCGGTTGGGTAGTCCTCGACTTACGACCGGTTTAGTCTTCGACTTACGACCATTTAGTCCTCGACTTACGACCGGTTGGGGGTTGCGGCATTAAAAAGGTTGAGAACCACTGGTATAGGGGGTACCTTGCTCAATAATAGTAACTGTGAGAGGGACCTCGGAGTCCTAGTGAGCAATCACTTAAATATGAGCCAGCAGTGTGCTGCAGCTGCCAAAAAAGCCAACACAGTGCTAGGCTGCATTAACAGAGGGATAGAATCAAGATCAAGTGAAGTATTAATACCACTTTACAATGCCTTGGTAAGGCCACACTTGGAATACTGCATCCAGTTTTGGTCACCACGATGTAAAAAAGATGTTGAGACTCTAGAAAGAGTATAGAGAAGAGCAACAAAGATGATTAGGGGACTGGAGGCTAAAGCATATAAGGAAAGGTTGATGGAATTGGGTATGTCTAGTTTAATGAAGAGAAGGATGAGGGGGGACATGATAGCAGTGTTCCAGTATCTCAGGGGCTGCCACAAAGAAAGAGGGAGTGAAGCTATTTTCCAAGGCACCTGAGGGCAGGAAAAAGAAGCAATGGATGGAAACTTATCAAGGAGAGAAGCAACCTAGAACTAAGGAGAAACTTCCTGACAGTTAGAACAATTAACCAGTGGAACAACCTGCCTCCAGAGGTGGTGAATGCTCCAACGCTGGAAGTTTTTAAGAAGAGACTGGACAGCCATTTGTCTGAAATGGTATAGGGTTTCCTGCCTGAGCAGGGGGTTGGACCAGATGACCTCCAAGGTCCCTTCCAACTTTATTATTATTATTATAAATTGTTTTCACTTAAGGAAAGAGACAGCAGTCCATTGGGGAGTTGCATTCCTTTCTGTAAAACACACACAAACACACACATACAGTGTAGTCTTTGAATCCTGAATGCAGATCGCTCCTTGAGTGGCCTGCATTTCAGGTAAAATCTGTGATTCTCTCCTGCACGGCTTTCCTTGGTCATGTTTACTTGATCAAATATAAATTCTGTGCTTTATTGAAAGTATTATTTTAAAAGCCTTATATATATTTTGAGAGAGATGGAATTGGTTTGGTGAGTAGGACAAGAGCAGATAGTTATATAAATGTATTAGAAATATATAGGTACTTGAATAATATTTGCATTAAATTAAGTATATACAGAATTGTAACTATTCTCTGTTAAAATGTTATACTATTTTTTTCTTTTTCCCTTTGTTGTACTTTTTACATTTTCTAAAAAAAAAGCAGAAACCAGATTCTTGCTAAGCCTGGCCCCAGTGAGAAAGCAATCTGTGTCAGGGCGTTCATTCCAATGAGATTCTTACTGTAGAAGCCACAAGCTGATCCTGAACGAGCAACAAGCTCTCTGATTTTACTCTAAATCAGAGGCCCGAATAAAGCCACTAAGGCTCCAAATCTAACTTCTCTGTCTCCTTTTGTTCTTTCTTCTTGCTTTCCCAGGTGCTGCGGTGGATAGAGAATTAGCCAGGTAAAAAGAAATCCTGGGATTAATGAAAATTGCAGATTCAGGCGGTGGTGGTGGTGGTGGTGGCGGTGGTGAGCCTTCCCTTGTAAGAATTCCTCAGGCCTACTCTGCAATGGAGAATCCAAGCAGAACTCTGGGGAGGAGACCGTTCCAGTTTAGAGGGGACGCTCTGACATCTGCCTTCCTCCCCCACACCACAAAAATGTTGGTTCCAGGCCACAGTCCCAGCGCATCCGGCGGTCCCGCCCTCCCTCGCACTATCATCACCAGCTCTTCGAGGGTGACCTACAGGCCTTCTTGGAGGTACCGGCTGCTGCCCTCAGCTGCTCCCCTCCTGCCCAGCTCCTAGTCTTGCTTTCTTGCCCTTTGCCTAGTGTGAATACTCTGCGCTGTTCTGGCCCAGCTTTTGCCTCTGGCTCTCCCCAATGGCTTTTGCTGCTCCCTTTGCCTGTAACATGTCTGCTCACTCTGTCTCTCCTGTCCCTGCTGCCCAAGGAGGCGGAGGCTACAGGCACGGAAGCAGGTACAGGACTGGCGGTGGGAAACGGTAGCCTGACTCGGTGGGTGGGGCATAGGGGAGGCCTGCCACCCTAAGGGGCATGGAAGGGTGCTTGTGGGATGGACTGTACTTTTGCATTAAAAAACACACACACCATGATTCTGGGTGTTTGTGCACTTGCTCACTTGCTCATATATATATATTTATGTATGAGTGTGTCTACAAGCATTTGTGGGTCTATAAAGTGCTAACCTTGCATGAGGCATGCTTTGCATATCAGAATATTTATACTGCATTTCTGTATGTAAGTGCATATGTGTGCATGCAGTGCTACCTTGCTTGCATTTTTTGCACATGCGCTCTTCCATCTTTGTAAAAAATGTTTACCTGTAACTGGGAGATCTTGATGTGTTCTCGAGATAAGACATGAATGCATGTTTTAGCCAGATATTATCCATTGTCTGATGGTCTCTTTCAATCCATTAAAAAAGGCTATAAAAAATCAGTTCTGTATAGGAAAGCTTTGAATTTGTGTCCCTGCTACTTTGTGGCAAGCACTCCCTGCTTTTGCTGTTTATGGTTGCAATATTGTGCTCCAAGAAATAGTGCGCTGGCATTAGCATCCACAGAGGCAAAGGGGCAGATAAGGCATGATGACATAATCACCCAGATCTTGCAAACACATGTGCTTGTTGACAACAAGTGTCATTGCAGCATTTGCCATGTGTGTGTCATCATTTTGCTGTCATCATAACTTGTTGTGGACCTTGTGGATCACAGCCTGGAGTCCTTTACTTCTTTTGAATTTTAAGCTGATAATTTAGGAATGACTCTGGGGACCTGAGCCAAGTAAGTTGAACCAAAATTTCCTGCCTAACCAGCCAGTGACCAGGAGCTATACCCATAAATTAACAATAAAATAAAATATTGATTACATATGAAAAGAAACGATACCTTTCCAGGTAAACAATGTGTGAAAAAAGGTTCTGCAGAATTTGCTTTATAGCATTAGAATAAGGGTATTAAAATACGCTAATGCGATTGAACTAAAAGCTTTTGATTGCTTCATATTTGTCCATAATTAATCAAGCAAATTCATTCGTTCGTTCGTTCATTCTTTACCAGAATTTATTTAATAGCTGCAAGTAACAGATCCTAGATAACAAAAACCATTTGTTCATTTTTACCTCTTCCTGTAGGCAAGGCCTGTTCTAATCATTTGCGTGCTGTGATCTTTAATCTACAAATTGTCTTTCTTCAGAATTGTTTGATTCACACACCACTAATAGCTTATGCAGATTTGATTGATTTGATGGTTTAGAAATCATACCACTACTTTAGTTTTCATAAACAGATTAAAAAGAGAGATTTGGGGTTTGATTTAGACATACATTGTGCTTAAAGTGATCTGTTGAACTCATACAGATTTGAATTCTTCTCAATTAATTTAATTCTCTTTGATTTCAATGGATCTACTCTTACCATGTTATATTTGGATTCCACCCATAATTTACCCACATGTTGGAAATACTGTAAACGAGAACTTGAACTCAAAGCCCAGCATGCCTATGGGAAATCATTATGCTTTACCAGGTCTTTTTGCAATCATATGCAGAGAGGGTATGTATGACAGTGAAGGGGCAAAATGACATACTAGCAGCTTTCGATCCTCATTGTGAATATGCACCCTGTTTCTACCTTTAGATTACATGTAATGTCGTAGTTTGATCTTGTCATTGTGCATTACTATATTAAATAAATATATTATAAAAATATTAAATTAATATTTTAAAATTGCCAAAAATAAGAAAATAAGAAATAAAAGAAAGTAAAAGAAAGAAAGACAGACTTTGCCTGTTATCCCCTCTGCCCAACTTTGTTCTGTACTAAACAGTGAATGGGCCTTAGTGTTTAACACCTTGAGTCCTTTTGCTCCATTGTAATGGAGCAAAGCCACATGTGTCTGCAAACCACATGTGAATCCCCACCCCTACCCATCCCTGCCTTCATAGCTCTTCAGTTTTGTTTCACAAGTGCCTGGGGCCAAAACCATCAAATGGGTTTCCCCAGTTTGAGGAAGTTGGAGGCATTTCAGTCTTCAGATAAGTATTTTAAAACCTCCCCTGTGATAAAGGCACTCCATTTTTAAAATTCCATCTGCAATGATTGTATATTTTTCCACATTTGAAGAGGTTTTAAGGGGCAAAATGAGTGCCAATTTGTTGAAAGTCTCTGTAACAATTTTGCTGGCTATTAGTGAAAAAAAAATGGGGAAGACACGTGAACATTTTGCCCCTTCTTCCTCTGATGATACTATAATGACCCTAGCCACATCTCCTTTGATCCCCAAATGAAGCACAGAGACAAAATCTCTCTCTCTCTCTCTCTCTCTCTCTCTCTCTCTCTCTCTCTCTCTCACACACACACACACACACACACACACACACACACACACTGACAAGGAGCTGTCACACCTGCAGTAGAGACTCAGTTCAAACATAGAGGCTACTGTAGGAAATCAACACATCATCCTAGAAAGAGATGGTAGCAAACTGCTTTCATACTAGTACTAAGAAAAATGTATAAATGTAGGTACCGGAAGTGGGGTGGGGTGGGGTGAGCTGTCTTCACTTTTTTTATGATGTATAGTGCTTGCCTAACTAGGGAAAGTCCTGGTTCTCTCTCTTAATTCTTTTTTGCCCCCCTCCCCCTCACTCATTGCCATATTTGTGCAAAAAGTGAAACTGGGAGGAAGTTGTGTGTTTTTTTTCTTTTGATTTTACAATTCTGGACAATATGTAGCAATTTTCTTAGCTGGGGCATGGTTGGGATTGTTTAAAAATAATACAGATTTCCATATTAAGTAAAATTAAGCTATATGGACTGAACAGTTTGTTCTGTAGTTTTTAAAGGAGAAATTAAAATGATTTGTCTAAAGCTTTGAAGCTCTCCTCAGAAGAATGGAAATTTGGTGGGCTAATTATGCAATTAACTGCATGGAATCCACTCTTTTTCCAAGAATGGCCAGAGTAGGGTAGCTGGAGGACCCCTGGTGACTGCCTGGGCAAGTCCCTGAAGTTTTCTTGGCAAGAATTTTCAGGAGTGGCTTGCTGTTGCCTTCTTCCTAGGGCTGAGAGAGAAGGACTGGCCCAAGGTCAGCTGGCTTCATGCCCAAGGCAGGACTAAAACGCAGAGTCTCTTGGTTTCTAACCTGATGCCTTACACCACTACACCAAACTGGTTCTCATCTTCACAATTGTCCTGTACAATTGATGTACCTGACAAAAAAAGAGAAAAGACCTACTTTTCTAAAAGTTTCTTCTCTCAGTTTTATTTGCCCAAGATATTTTGGACTTCTCGTACTTTGTCAGGGACTTAGTCACATTCTTCTCTTCAAAAGCCCAGGGTAATGATAAGCTTGGCTAAATTAGAAGGTCCTAATTTCTTTGCCAAATTGTGCCCACTGAGTTAGTTAGCAGTTGCCCCAAAATCCAATTTAAATCAACTTTTCTCATCCCTCCAATGTGCATGCTGCACTGAATATAGAAATATACACTGTTTAGATGGTTGAAGTTGACAGTAAGAGGGATCATTGCTAATGATGGTCACACTCATTCTGTTTCTGCTATTGATGACAAAGGCTTTTTGTCTTCGTTTCCAAAACTTCCCATGTCTGCAAAGCAGCAACAGTGTGGAGAAGAGACACATATAAAATAAGCTACTGATACCGATACTGTCAGCAGTAGCAACCATTTTTATTCACCCATCTTTTCCCACATTATATCACCTATTACAGCAATTCACTTGTTACAGTGGTGAGTTACTGCAGATTGTATTATAATACAGCAATTCTTACAACTGTCCTAAGATACTATTCTTGCCCCACTTGCAGATAAAAGTTTGAATCTGAAGGAGTGATTCATCTAACTACAAGTAACCCATTTAGAGCTAAGATAGCAGACAACTAATTCTTAATCAGAGTTTGTTTTCTTAGCTATACCCGCTGTAGCATTTTGTTTTTCTATATCTGCTGAATCAGAATAAAGATGTCATTAACAAACAGGCCCAATCATGACAGCCAGGAACCTAGCTCCCAGCAGTCCTGAGTGTGTTGTGAGAATGACATCTTGTGACTCTCTGCTTTCCTTCCTGTAACTCCAGGCCTCAGGCCAAGCAGTGCCCCTTGTGGTGGAAAGTTGCATCCGCTTCATCAACCTCCATGGTAAGGCTGTCCTATGCTAACCCCCTTTCCTTCCTTCCTTCCTCTTTCCATGCGTCCTTGCTGGGAGTTGAACTTTGAAGACCATGAGTTCTTCACTGAAAATATCCCTTGGTATTTTTTTCTCTTCTTTACTCAGGCCTCCAGCATGAAGGTATTTTCCGTGTGCCTGGATCTCAAGCACAAGTAGCAGAGATCAGGAATGCCTTTGAGAAAGGTGAGGGGTGAGGGGGACGTTTAAAAGGTTTTCTTAAAATTGCTATTGCATTTCTAGAATGCCATAGAACAGTGGTAGCGAGCCTATGGCACGTGTGCCAGAGGCAGCACTCAGAGCCCTCTTTGTGGGCACGCGTGCCATGCCCCAGAGATGGCAACCATCCCTCTTCAACCAGCCGCCTGAGGTACCACGTGGCCAGATGCATCCCGGCACAGCTGGTTTCCCTCCCCCCCATCCCGTCCCTCCTGGCCTCGCATGCTCTCCTTTTCCCAGGCACGACCCACTGCATCGCCTCCTCAGCTGTCGACCAGCTGTCCAGCTCAGAGGCAGCTTCTCTGAACTGCTGGCGGTGGGCTGTGGAGCCCCAGAGTGCGCCGGTCGAGGAGCCAGCAGGCTGTGGCTGCTGACAGACACCGTTGGCCCCCATGTGCTTGCTGGCCTCTGTGTGTGGGGGCCGGTGGTGTCAGGCAGCAGCTGCTCCGGCCCCTGCCTTGTTTTGCCCCACGGCAATGGTACCCCCACCCTGCTTCGCCTCGCCTCACAGGACGAGCCTCCTGCCCACCACCCCACCTGCCAGAGACCCCCTGGATCTCCCCCAACCCTGCCCGGCTCCCACAGGCATCCCTCCCCACGAGCAACATCGAGGTGACTATGCCCACTTTGGCCACACCCACCCAGTTTGCCATGACCACCACAGCCACACCCACCCAGTGGGCCACATCCCACCCGGCACTCGGCGATAAATAAGTGGGTTTTGGGTTGCAGTTTGGGCACTCAGTCTCTAAAAGGTTCGCCATCACTGACTTAGAAGCAGAAGGTAGAGAAGCAACCTGGAATTAAGGAGAAATTTCCTAACAGCGAGGACAATTAGCCAGTGAAACAGCTTGCCTTCGGACATTGTGGGTGCTTCATCACTCAAGATTTTTAAGAAGAGACTGGACAGCTACTTATCTGAAATGATATAGAGACTCCTGCTTGAGCAGGGGGCTGGACTAGAAGACCTCCAAGTTTCCTTCCAGCTCTATTCTGATCTTCAAATACCTCTTATGCATTTACTCTTTCCCTGACATTCCAGAAGTTATAACTGAAACAGTGGCCTTCAGACTCCATTACAGCAGCCTTCAGTGTTGGCATTGGCTGCCACATTCAAAGCCACTTAGACATTTTCATAGCTAGCATGGGATTAGGCCCCATCTCTTACCTGTGGTTGCAGCTTTTATTTTTCTCCACCAGGTGAGGACCCCTTAGCAGATAGCTATGTACAGCATGACTTGGATTCAGTGGCTGGAGTGCTAAAATTGTACTTTCGGGGACTGGAGAAACCTCTCTTTCCTTATGATATTGTTCCTGAGCTGCTGGCCAAAGCCCGTAAGTATGTTTGCCTCTTCCTCGGTGTTGTTATTGCAGCAAATATGAATGTTTATGCATTATATTGGGGTATACAAGTTATTTCTTATACAATCACAATTAGCATTTTACATATGAACTTCCTCTCTCTCTTACATATATCCTTTTTTTGAAACCCATTTATTTTCTTTGCAAGAGAATAAAGCTGAAAAAAATGGGATATAGTGTGACATCTCCACCAGTTTCAATATAAATGCAGATACTCCTTGCTTACCAACTACTTTGTTTAGCAACCATCTGAAGTTATGATGGCACTGAAAAAGTTAACTTATGACTGGTCTTTGAACTTGTGGTTGTAGCATTGTCTCTGAGGTCATGTGATTACGATTTGGGTGCTTTGCAACCAGCTCAAGTTTACAACAGTCACAGAGTCCCTCAGTCAATTGATCACCATTTGCAACTTTCACAACTGACCTCTAACAAAGAAAATCAACGGGGAAGCCAGCAGGAAGTCACCGTCTTGGTCACGTCATATTGTGCTTAGTGATTGTGGGTGATTTGCTTAATAACTGCAGCAGAACTGACATAAGTCCAGTATGGTCATATGAAGTTTCACTTAACCATCTCACTTAGCAGTGGGGTTGCTGGTCCCAGTTGTGTCAGTAATTACTACCTGTAATTCATTTATACAGCCTGTAATATAGCAAGAATCTCATGCTAATTAGAAACAAATGAAATGTTTTTAAATAATTATAGTAATATTTTGATAATTTGTTTTATTCAGTGAATAATGCTTAAGTAATTGAATGAATTGTAGACTGGAGTAAAGATCTCAGGAATGGCTGAATACAATAACTTTATGCACATTTTATTGAATTTTAATGGGATCTCTGTGTGTGTATGTATGTTTGTATTTATATAGCTAGTTGTGTAGATGCCCTTATACATTACAAAATGGGATAAAATGGAAATATAAAAAATAAAAATAAATGTATAGGAATTTAAAATTGGGAACAAGAAACTCCCCTTCCCACCTCTTGTGCCATTTTGAAGAGGTGGAATTAGGCTTAGAGAAAAGATATGTGATATGTAGGATATTTTTGTGATCCACTTTCTATAGCAAAGAGGCAATCATTGGTAAAATGACCTGGGAGGGGAAAGACATTAGGAATCTGTTCCAAAGACATGTTTCATTCCTCACATGTTTCATTTCCCCAGCTCAGTTGCTTCTCCCTGTCCCTAGCTGGAAAGGAATCAAGAAGTCCTGTCTTTTGGGAGTGGAGCAAGGTTGACATTTTCATCCCTTCCCCTATTTTTCTGGAAGTTTAGAGGGTCTCCACACACCACTTCCCCCATAGCTTCCAGCTGTTTGCATCTGGTTTTCCAAGCAGAGGGGGGAGCCAGGTAACGTAATTGGGTTGACTTCTGCTAGTGCATTTCTCAGAACAGGAAATGTCAGCCAAAAAGAGATCCTTGACCCTTGTGTAGATTAGAGTTTATCTGGGGGCAACATATAGGGTATGTTAACTGAGGTCAGAGGTCCCCAACATTTTGGGCACCAGGGACCGGTTCCGTGGAGAGAGGTTTTTCCACGGACCAGAGGGGCCGTGGTTTTGTGTGCTGCCTGCATCCCATAGATGGAGTTTTGCTTGTTTGTGCGGACCGGTTGCTGGCATGCCACAGCCCGATACTGGCCCACGGACCGAGGGTTAGAGACCCCTGGTTTAGGTGATGCTAAGGTTCTTCTGGGGCAACATAGAGAAATCGCTATTCTCAGCTGCTGAATGACATCCTTGATTTAGTAATTGAAACAATCAAGGAACTTCTGAATAGTAATATGGCTAAACACTGGCGGAGATGGAAAGTTTAAAAACAAATAACACATTGATTGCTTCATGCACCAATAGCATACTGTATGAATCAGTTTCCACTGTTCTTTTTTTAAAATATATTTTGTTGATTTTTTTAACATAGTCACCTTAATATTTGGTAAACAGCGTGTTGTCTCAAAATCTCAATTGAGATTTTCTCAAGATCAATTACATTTTATCTAAAACCTTTTCCTCATATAAACCATCCCAACATTTTCATATGTCTCATATCGTAAATAAATAATTAAAAGAAAATAAAAAAATAAAAAAAGAATACTGTTACTTGAGGGGCCTATCCCTCTTAAACTAAAATACATTTATATCCAGAAGTTTTCTATTTTTTTAACCGTATTCAAACAAATGTTTAATCTTTAAATATTCCATCTGATAGGTCCCATCATCCAATTTCTTAATTCTAACTGTAACCTTTTTTTTTTTTTTTTTTGCCAAACATCTTTTCTAATCAATATGCTCTGTGGGGCCAAAATGTTTTCCCATAGTCTTGTAGATGTTGTCATAGGTACAGGAGACAAATCCAGTAAAATGTTTTTGTGGGAGGATTTTGCCCCTTCGTATTCATTGAAAATCTTTTTCTTTCTTTCTCTCTTAATTTCTCTTATCATTTTTTGTCTCTCAGGAAAGTATTTGTTTTTTCTTGATATGTTCTTTCTGCAGGTCTCTGATGTTCTATGAAAGCCAAAAATCAAAGTTTTCCTTTCTTTGCAAACAGCTTTAGAGTCACAATTCTATAAGTATTTATAATCCAGGAAGATCAATTTTCCCCCCTAAAGTTTATAGTTCTTGCCTTGTAATTAGCCCAAAATGTTTTCTTTTTGTTGCAGCTGTTCTCTGTTTAATTAAGACATTGAAGGTTACAGAAACAAGTTATCTTTTTCTGGGCTTTCTGCCAATTCCTATATTAGAGCAACTACAGTTGTATATTTTCATCCACCACTAGATGTCAGCATCAGTTCATTTTTCATTTTTCAAAACAAGCAATTACTTTCTTCTGTTTTTATCAATAATCATTTGAAAAGAAAATCTTAACAAATTCCACCAATTTTAAACTTATTAAGATTTAAGTCTTGTATTCATTTCATTTCAATATATTTCTGTCCCACATAAAAGTTTAATTCGCCGCTTCCTTCTGTGGGAGGGTGGGGCAAGAGTCCCCCTCCTTCTCACTTTTGGAGGATTTTGCTTCTTGGGTTTTTTTTCCCAGGAAATCAATTATCAAGTAGAAGGGAGAGAATCAATATTGTTACCCATTTCTAAACATGTTATTTACGATCAAGCCTGAATTAGTGCTTTTTGGCTTTGGCTGCTTGTAGCTTGGGCACCAGTGTTTCTCAACCTTGACAATTTTAAGGCATGTGGACTTCAACTCCCAGAATTCCACAGCCAGCAACGCTGGCTGTGGAATTCTGGGAGTTGAAGTCCACATGCCTTAAAATTGTCAAGGTTGAGAAACACTGGGCTAGACTCTGGAATAAAGCTAGCCTTTCTTCTGCTGGTTTCTGGAGGGCTTTCCCCGAATGACTGGATCGGCCGCCATCTCTCCACGGTCGGCATGGCTCCCCTCCTTTGTCGCCTCTCCGGGGCGATTTTAGGCCCATTTAGGGTCTCCTAACAGGAAAAAAATGTCCGTAGGGTACGGAGCTGCTGAGCTACTGCGCAAAATCGGAAGCCCAGTTTCCACTGTTCTTTTTGAGTGCAAAGAGGTTATGAATTATAATATTTCAAAGATGAGAATTAATTGAGTTTGTGGGGGTGCAGACACACATATAGAAGTGCTAATCCAACACTCTGCCATGCATGGTCCTCTATCTCACACTGCTATCCATTTTTTTCCAGACCTGGAACCTTTAGCTGAGCGCATCTCACACCTCCGGGCTCTCATTTCTCAGCTTCCATCTGCAGTACTGGTGGTTCTGCGGTACCTCTTTGCTTTCCTCAACCAGTGAGTATTCAGGCCCTCGGTGGCAAGTAAACCCACTCCTTAGGATTTCCATGGCGAGAGCTTTCTTTGGCTAAGGGAACTCTATTGCCTTCCCTCCCCTCTTCTTCCTGCAGTTTATCTCAATACAGCGATGAGAATATGATGGACCCCCACAACCTAGCTGTCTGCTTTGGCCCCACCCTGGTGACGGTACCTGCGGGCCAGGATGCCGTGTCAGTGCAGCCTCACATCAATGAGGTGGTAAAGTGCCTGATCGTCCATCATGAAGCCATCTTTCCTGGAGTTAATCAGTTGCCTGGGCCCCAGTATGAGAAAGTCATGGCTCTGGCTGAAGAAGAATACTGGTATGAGAAGGGGTAAAGGAGGATGATTTGGGAGAGCAAGCAGCAGGGCTGTGTGCAGATATTGTTTATGCAAAGCTGGTTCTGCATATCATGCCTTGTCAGTTTTCCATGGTGGTGTGACAGCTGGGATCCCATCCATGTTTAACCAAGTTAGTTAAAGATCTATATCTATATGCACACAGTCTATTAAACTTGGTTAGTTTAACTTTCGTCCAAAGCGCTCTCTGCATAGAAGGGTATGCACTCTGTCAAGGTTTGAGGCTCTGGGTTCAAAGATAACGGAGATGCATCATATTCCTATTCAAGAATGCCTTTGCAGCTGTTTGGATGCCATGTGCTTGTCCTGCCCCCCTCTCCCTTGTTATACCTCAGATGCTTAAGCTGGCCTCAGTCTGAAATTGTGCTCTTTCTACTAAGAGTTCAGTCTAGTACAGTCACTGCAAAAGATGAAATTGTTTTCTCTTTGATTGAAGTTAGACAACAGTGGGTTTGATATGAATGGCTTAGACCCCCAACTCTAGCCTATTCATTCTGTTTGATTCCCTTGTCACATACATAGATACACACACACACACACACACACATCCACTTTTCTTTTATCTTCCTTTTTCTAAACTGGTGTCAAATGAACAAGAACTTTATTTTAGCCCAAGACCAGCATAATACAATACAATAAGAAAGACTTTATAGAAATATAAACTTACAATAGAAAAGCCAAAGGGTGATACAAGGGAATTGGGGGGGGATAGGCACACAGGACCCATCATCGGGAATTTAGGCCTAAGTAACAAGATTAAAATATGATTAAAATGTATATATTTTTTTAAAAATGCCCTATATAAATAATTAGGTAGTACATTAGGCAAGTAAATATAAACATAAATACATAAAACAAGTAGAGTAAATATAAAAGTGGTTGCTGAGAGTGAAAGGAAGCATAAGGAAATGAAGAAAGAAAAATTGAGCAGAAATTGTTTTGCTAACTTGTTGTGAGCATCTTCTTGATTTTACATGCTGTCATGCAGAATTTGGCCACTTTGTGTGCTATGGTAGGAGCCTTATCAGACAATAGAAACAGTGGATAGAAATGCCTAGAGTGGCCTGGAAAGTCTAGCAGGGGTATAATGGCAGTGTTACATATATGACTATAATATTAGCAAACCTGTAGTACCTGCTTAGTTTTTTCTGTCTCCCCATCCACAGAAGGGCCCAATTGTTCTGAACAGCGTACTTTTTAAAATCACCTCCCAAACACTATGAGTGTGAATAGCTTTTATGTAGCCTATGTTGATATTTTTCCTCTTTTTATGTTCTTTATGTTTTTGGTCTATGACTGTATGGGAAGCAAGTTCATAAGAAATAAGAACAATCTTGGTATGTGTGTTGCTTGTATGCCTGTGTGCTTTGTTGTGCAGCCCTAGCCCAATAACTTAGTTAAGAGTGTCATGTGAAAACAACCCTGGGTTCTCATTTTTTTGTCTCTTGTCTCTCTTTCGAAAGTGATGTCTTGCCCCTTGAGACTACAGCAGAAGAGCCCGAGACTGAGGGGACCCCAGAAACTCCAGCAAGTGAGGATGGTAAGTGTGTGTGTGTGTGTGTGTGTGTGTATGGAGGGGAAATTCTGTGACCTGTTTTGTCTTGCCTTGCTTGATACCCTCCACATGGGGGGGGGGTGGAATTGCAAGAATTCTTAGTTAGGTTACAGGGACTGTTTCTTTTCAGTTCTAAAGAAGAAGGTGGGGAGTCTGTGGTTGAGCTTCTTGGGAGAAGGATGATATAGGAAGCCATCTATCTAAATACAGACATGAATTAAAGCAGAGTACATGAATCTGTGTCCTGGATCAGGGTCTAAGCATTTTTCATAGTCCCTCAGCTCTAGTTAAACATGGTAAATGGCGAGTGATGTTGGGAGCTGTAGTTCAGCAACACTGAACATTCTCCTTTAGATATGCTTTAAATGTGACTCTTAGGGAAATGCTATAGATTTCTGATATATAAAAATTGGGTTTCTGGGCTCCATTTCTTTATTGGAGTATCATCTGGCCATGCAGTAGAATTAAAGGCAGTCTGTGCAAGAGTAAGTATGAGTAGATACCTTGGGACCTTGGTTCACATCTGTTTCCTTTTATGGAACAAGCATGTCATAGTCTGCACCTTATTTTAGGAGACAAAGGTTGTTCCTTCTCCTCCACTGTCCTAATGAATTTTGCTGACTCATCCCATAGATACTGCAGAGAAGAAAAATATATATCATGGCCCAAGCATCCCCTGGTTGCATTAATAATGTGACATTGGTATTCCTAAAAATACTCTTATGAATTCCATTCCCTAGTTATAATAATAATGACCATTTTACAAGCTTTTTCAATAAGCTTCAGTCTCCTGTTTAAAAATACAATACTTAAATGCAGATAGTCCTTGAGCCTGCCCATTATGGTTGCAAGTTGTAACGATTGAAATACAGGTCAGTCTGGTGACTGACAAAATGCTGCAAATAGCCACAAATGCAGCAGTATTGCCGACCCCCAACATGCAGTCATGTGATTGCAGGAGTGGCGACCTTTGGATCTAAGTCCCCTTTTTCAGGTCCATCATAATTTTGAATGGTCACCAAGCAAGCATCATAAGTTGAGGACAACTGTATGTTTCTGTCCACCTTCTGCACACATAAGCATCTTTTATTTGCTAGATCCAATTATTCCAACAAGAACAAGGTGGGGCCATCCTTAAGATAGTCTACAATTACTTTGTAGATACTGCTGAGAATAAACTTTCATTACCTTTTCCCTTGTGGAGTTGCAGAAACATGTTCTCTCACTGACTTTTGAGGAGTTCTTCTGCAGGTGGGTTGGGAAGGGCCTGTTGACCTACCAATTATTCATTTTCTTGCTCTCTCAGAAGGCGACTCCCAATCAGAAGCTGTGCCCCGCTCTGGTCCCATAGCTCAACCTGAAGAGCGGTTTGTGCGAGGAATCCCAGTTGGCTGGCGGCGAGGTGAACGTGGTGGCAACCGAGGATTAGTACCACCCATTGTCTTACCAGACAGGTGAGTGACCACTGTGTTGCCAGTCATGAGGAAAGTAGTAGTCATGAATGCAAGCGGACCATGATAGGATTGGAAAGATGCAAGACTGCAGGTGAAATCTTCATGCTTAGCATATAAAAGGGAGGCTTTGCTGCATATTGAGTGCTTTAGTTGAACCTATCCCAGGATGAAAATAAAATAATATCCAGGAAGCCCTGTTCCCCATCTGGACTGAGAAATAACACAACAATGTTAGTTAAATAGAAATCAAATGCTTCCATACATGTCAGTGACCAAGGATTGTGGATTTGTCTGGATATGGGTATATTTAGGATTGTTTTAAAGTCTGGAGAAAAAATTGCTAAAGCCAGTTGCAGTGGAAGTGATCGTGGGAATGCATTTGAGTTATAAATTCTACATAACATTCCCTTTCCGGTAAGTAACATTTTGCAAAGCACAGATAGAGAAGGATAGAGAAGGAAATTAAACTCTGACTGAAAAGAGAGAAGGAAAAGAAATTGAACGTCATGCATCCTGATTGCCTTTTGTTCTTTAATCATCTTGCCGCTCTTTTCTGAAGATCTCAACATCTACCATAAATTTATTCCACATCCTCTCAAACTGTTCATGGTTCTTCATATATTTGTCTTGTGATTTCATTTTTATTCTTTTTTGTATTTTTTCATTATATCTCACCCATCTATTCATATTACCTAAATAGAATAATATTTCCTCTGGATCACAATTATCCAGAATGTTATTTGTTGTTTCCCAAAACTCATCCCTTCCTGTGAATTTCTATTTTTATGCACTTGCAACTATAGAGACACCAGTTCATTCTTTCTGACAAACATTTTAGCCTTTATGTTCATAAGGAAATCAATGTTTTTCATACATGTTACCAAATCCACAACATCAGACAACTTTCATATTCAAGCCTATGATATCCTTTTCCCCCCTCTTACTTTCATGTGGAATGGCACTTATTGTAATTGTGGCTTTTATTTTTAGATTTTATGTACTAACCTGAGGGCTAGAATCTTAGGGATTTTTTTCTGATGGTTTTCCTTGGGAACTGTTTGGTTTGTTTTATTTTCAAAGAAAAACAGATGTGCAATAAGAAATGTGGGGAGCTGCTTTTTTTTTTTTTAATCTCAAATGGTTAATTTAAGTCTCCTCCAAGATCTTCTCAAAATAAGACTGTGAAAGAAGGTGTGAGTTAGTTAGGGAGGAGACATCAGCCCCTCTTTCTAACAACTTTCTTGGTTCTTTGGTTGCTTCTTTTGCAGTGAAAAACAATCTAACACCCGCAGTTCCAGGTTAGAGATTGATACTGGACCATCTCTGGAGGAACTGCTCCCTGAACCCACAAGCAGGTAGGAAAAGTGTGGCAGGTAGACCTCATCCAAATTCTCAGTGCTGTGTGATGGTGACTGATACTACCTCTATGATCTGTTGCCTGCTGCCCCCAAAAGGGCTTGTCTTGGGACTGGATCTGTGTCTCAAGCAGATGTTCTCTCTGTCTCTGTCTCTCTCTGATTCTGTCTCATATTTTAGGCTGCGTGTCAATTCAGATGTGAGCCGCCAGCGTGGAGGGAGCAGCCCCATTCGCAAATTGGCATCACCGTTCATGGATGGGGGCCGCCTGCCCTTTCCCATCCTTCAACCAACCCAGGCCAAGACCTTTCACCCTGTTGATCGGTGAGAGCATTGAAGGGGAGGGTACAAATGTGTATTGGCATGTGCTGGATTAATTAGGTGGGAGGGACATTTAGAGGTGGCTGTTATATTACCTAGACCAGGGGTAGGCAACCTCGGCTCTTTTATGACTCATGGACTTCAACTCCCAGAATTCCTGAGTCAGCATAGCTACCCCTGACCTAGACAATGCCAAATAATATTTGGGGAGTATTTCGTTTCTGCTCTGGTAGACTCCAAAAGAAGCATCTGCATTAGATGGGAGAGGAGAAAAATGGACAGAATATCTGTGTGGTCTGGGATATAGTTAAATGGGGAAATTCTAATTTTGACTGATCTGTTACAATAAGTCACAGGACTCCCATTTCAAATGCTTTGTTAATAAATAAACAAACAAACCAGCCTGCAAGCAAGCAGAGCTTCCAATTCTGAATGCTCCCTTATAATAAGTAAGTAAGTAAATAAGAAAGTAAGCAAAACAAGCATTATAAAGCAGAGGCAGGCCATGCATTCTTCTTAATAATGCAGCTGAGTGTTTTTAATGATATAAAGTCTGGCTAGAAAATTTTTTAGCTGAAGTGGCATTTCAAGAGAATGTTGTCAATTCAGACAGAGGAGTGTTGGCAGAGGAATGGAGAGAACAAATGGGCATGACATGAAGGGAGATGCCTGATGTTGATCACTGCTCTGTTACTGAAATGTGTGCTTTCCATAAGCTTTCCCAACAGTTACTTGATAGGCAGCAGTAACTGTGTCATAGGAATAACTATTCCCAGTTGCAGAGTTTGATAAGTTGTGTCCACAAGGCTCTCTGAAGGGCATTTCCTTCTCTATCAAATATTCTTTACAACCAGCACCTGGAAAGGGGTGAAGGGAAATATAAACTAAGATAATTGAGAGGGACGGAAAGCTGAAAAAAACACAAGGGATAGAACTCTGATGATACACTTAAGAAGTCCATATGCAGTCTTATGTTTTATACACTCTTTGGGGCTCTTTGTTTTTCCCCAGGCCAGATCGCTGGAATGAAGTTTCTCCACGGAACTGGGCTGGCAATAACTTTGAGAGACAAGGACCAGTGGAGAAACGGGTAGAGATAGACCGGGTAAGAACCTATCCATTTTCCCCTCCCTTTTCTAGTTTTTCCTCCCTCTCTTGCTCCTTTCACTATGTTTTGTCTTTTTCCATTGATAGGAGGTTGCCAGAAATATGGATTCTGTGTTCAAAGAACTTCTTGGGAAAACTACTCTGAAGCACACAGGGATTTGTGACCCTCCCAATCATTCTGAACCCCCAAAGAGCAATTCTTTGGCTAAGAAGGGTATCACCCCTGCCAAGCCAGCCTCTTCAAACAGGGCGCTTCTGCGGGGCAAAGGGGTCTTCAAGTCTTTGGGAAATGGAGAGTAAGTCAAATTTGACATGGGGAAAAGCACCCCCATTGTGACTTGCCCAATACTGTGGCTACCCTCCTCCTTCTCCTCCTCCTTCCTGTTCCGGATACCAACTCAGGGCAGTTGTGTCTTGCTCTCTCCTGGTGGGGGTGGGAAGGGGGGTGATCTAAGATTATAAGCATTTGTGTTCCGACTTCCAAGCCAAATGTTGAAGATGCATTTGCTGTTGGGCGTCTTCCTGCACTGGAGGTGCATCTGAAGGATTTCATGTTGTGGATGTGACTGGGACTAAAACATACAGCTCCCATCAAGATGGCCCTGGACCCAACACCCAGACCAGTTGTTCCTTTGTCACAAACAGTTTGCACTTGGATCTTCATGTCGAAGGGATGCATGGGGGAGGGAATGTGCCAAGATTCCTGGAGTCTATTCTTGGCCCTGGGAAGGGAATCATGTCTAGTGAGTTATGGTGCCAGGGGCTGAAAGGGAGGGCATTCTTTTGTACATGTGTTATTCTCTTCCTGACGTGCTTCACACTAGCCCTCATCCCCTCTCCTTTTTTCCTCAACTCTCAACCCCGGCAATGTATCTCTTGATGCTTTATACATTTGTCTGAATTTTAGAACTCTTTCCACACATTCTACTTGGTACAGCCTCATCCAACCCTGCACGCGTCACCCTCCTACATTGGGGCAATAAGTAAGGGGACATATTTGTGGTGGGGATCCATGTGCCAATTTTTCCTTCATCATCCAAGGTCCAGTTTGTCCGGCCCTCCCCCCCCACCTCCTACTCCATCGTCCTCATTTGTCTTTACTACTCAGTATTCATCAGGGCTGCATGTACTCTGTGCTTTAAAATGCTGTGCAAAGTCGAGCTGAATTCTGCAACCTGGGTAAAGTAGGCAAATTAAACTAATAGAGATTCTCTTCCATAATTTATGTTAGCAATCTGACAACTGGAAATCTGACTTATGGCACCCAAACTTTCAGCAGGAAATTAAAACCACACTTTTGAGCATCACTTTATAGACATAAGGGCTAGAAACTTGCTCTTTTATATATATAAATTTTTATATATATATAATTTTTTTTCACATTCTCAGGGAGCAGAATTCTGTGCCCAATGCCGCATCCTGTGAGTTTCTTGCGAATTACAGCATATGTACAGCCCTGGTATTAGCTTGTCATTAACAAAAATGACTGTACTGTGATCTTTCTATACAGTCTGTTGATTTCTGTCTCTTGCAATAAACTGGATTTATAAACTCTCCACAGAAAGCGCCTGCCAGTCAGGATTTTATAAAGAATAAACAAGACACTGAAGGATTTGCTTGGGTTTTATTGTCATAAAATGCAAAACATTTTTTTTAAATTTTAGAAAATTGTCAGTATTTAGTTCAAAGCAGAAATTAGCATTAAGGTTTAAGAAAGAGCAGCACTGATTGAGTAATGTTGTGTCCACAAAGTGATTTCAAAGAAAGGTACCACAGTAGTGACATGAAATGGGTTGGCTGAAACCGTAAGGTAGTGAATGTCAGAGACGGAGCGAGAGAGAGAAAATGTGAGATGTAAGGCATTAGTGCTCTACTTAAAGCATCTCTGAAATGGCTTCCCAGGACACTATATCATCTTGTTCCAATTTAAGGCAGTATTGGAATTTTGTATCCCGGATATGATAGCTCTAATCCCATTGGCTGCCTCAATGTATTGTGGAATGGCAACTCACAGCATCCCGCAGCCAGGCTGCTGGAAGATTCTGGGTACTGTAATTATGGCACATCTAGAAGGTGCCAGAATGGGGAGGCTACAATGCTGAAATGACCCACAGGTCAAATGCTTGGCCATGGTGAATTGGCTGTGGTGAATTGGCTGTGGCAAGTTATCCCATTGTGCTGCTAGAAAGCCTTGCTATACTTTCTCTGCAGATCTCTTACAGCAGTTCTCCTCAACAATTACTTATTACACAAAAGGGCTTGTGTAGAAGAACTTGCCACTGTGTTGTGACACGTGTGTGTGTGAGAGCGAGATGGGGGCATTTAGAGCAGTGCTTCTCAATCTTTGCAACTTTACGATGTGTGAGGACTTCTTGGAGTTGGAGTACGGGTGGCTGGGGAATTCTGGGAGTTAAAGTCCACACATCTTAAAGCTGGCAAGATTTAGAGTACAGGTTTTCCCACCATAATCAGAAAGAGGTGGAGTAATTTTGGGGGGCCAGGGAATTCAAGGTAAAGATCCATCAGCCAGATTGTTTCCACCTCCATCAGTCGACTGACTCAGGATTGCAGCTGAGCTACTGTCCCATCTGATGGGTCAAGTGAAGGAAAAATGAAGCCAGAATCCTGTCCTGACCCAAAGGAGAGGCTCAGTCCTTTGCGTGTTCCTTGCGCAGGGCCACTCGGATGTCGCTGCAAACTTTCCCCACTGCTTCAAAGAGAGGGTCGCAGAAGGTACGTATGCACAAGGCATAGCAGCGCCCACAGCACTGCACCTCTATGAAGTAGCTCTTGATGCAAGGCATGGCCCCCCAGATGTGGCAGAAAGAAACACAGGCAAAGAGGAAGCCCCAGAGCAAGGCAAGGGGCACCCCCAGTGCCCCCGATAGAATCCGGTAGCACCAGTACTTGCTGACAGTAAAGGTGGTGTTGCTGGCCTTCCACACTCCATCAAAGCTGTGGGTGCCCTCTGGCTCAGCGATCACATCTTCAAAGTCTACCTGGCAAGGTAGGAAGAGAGATTGTGAATTGGCCAAAGCTTTGTTTAAGTCTGGAGGGTGTGTGTGTGAGTGAGAAAGAGCGAGAGGGAGAAAGAAAAAGAAAAAGAAAGGAAAGAAAAGAAAGAAAGAAAAAAGAAAAAGAAAAAGAGGAAAAAGAAAAAGAAAGAAAAACAGAAAAAAAATTCGTTAATGCTATTAAGCAGCCTTCCCAAACGAGGTTTTCTAGATCAGGGGTGTCAAACTCGCAACATCATATGACGTGTCGTGACGTGACGTATCGTGACTTTTTTGCCATTGCCGGCAATGGGGTGGGCGCAGTTTCGCTATGATGCATCCGGCCCGTGGGCTGGCAGTTTGACACCCTTGCTCTAGATGGTTTAAACTAGAACTATTGAGTCCTAGGGCCGGAAAGGAGGACTTGTGGTCTAATCCCTTATCCAAGGTAGCAATCTTTATACTATTCCAGACTTCTATATCCAAATCTCTTCTATCATGGGTAGCAATTTTTGTGTTGCTAGTTAAGCACAATACATTTTGGACATCTAGAATGCTAAAAGATTTTTTCTAGTTCTAGGGAAGTAGAGCTAATAACTACCCAACAAAGCCTAAGGCTTTTAACCTCAAAACAGTGGGTATGATTTGGAACAAAGATTTTTCTCATTGGGGGGTGGAGTGGGGCTGTTAACTCTTATCCCTGAATCTGAGTTCCTAAACATATTCTGTATTTACTTCTGGCAAAAACCTGTGTTAAACTTGGTGGCGAAGGGTCGCTGTGATTGAAGAAGAGTTAACCTCCACCTCGTCTGCTTTTCTCTAATGAGCTGCGCTTTCAAATAATTATTTTCCTTATGAAAAAGTCTGCTTGAGTTCTGCTATGTGTGTTTACTTGCAGCCTATAATTCTCGAATGGATGGAATACCACCTGGTATTGCAATCATGCATTTAAAGGAAGGATTGGAGTAGATCACTACTAGGATCTTACACACTTCCATAACTAACAGACAGACAGGAAAAAAAACTACCAGGAAGACAGCACTTAATTTGCATAGCTTTCCTACATGCTACTGTGAGTCTTCATTTAGACAATCCCAGCCTGTCTTTTACCTCCAAACTTCAGAGCAACTTCCTTTTGGAGCTGTCACTGTTGAAATATGAATTTTGGAAGTGCCTCTTGTGGAGTAAAGAGCAGGTGAGTAACTGCCTCAGCAGGGGGTAAGATCGGATAGCAGGGGGTGAAAGCTGATTTCCCAGGAGCACCGTCTCAGAAAGTTCTCCAGAACAGGTCTCATTGAAAGAATTGCAAAATCAGGGCAGGGCCAGATTTGCTAGTGAGTTGACCTTCCACCAGATATTAGCAAGCGGGGAATGGATTTACTATTCGTCTCAAGAACCAAAATATTTAATTCTTTGGAAATTAAGCATGATCAAGGACAAATTAGAGTAACTGATGGTTTAAATTATGCATTGTTTTTAATTGTTGATGGATAACCTGGTTTTATCAAGAAGGATAGGTTAGAAGTGGTTTTGCGTTATAAACAAAAATTCAAGTTAAAAGCTTCTAAGAACAGAGTTCAACTCTTCTCCCATTGTGGAAAGGATTAGAACAGTATTTCTCAACCTCAGCAAGTTTAAGCTATGTGGATTTCAACTCCCAGAATTCCCCTGGCAAGCATGGGGAGTTGAAATCCACACAGCTTAAACTTGCTGAGGTTGAGAAACATTGAATTTAGAACACTGCTATAGTATATGATTAGTATTAGGCTGATTATCCCTTCCCAAGTGTCATTTTTTAAATTTTATCTTTACTCCATAATCCTTTTTAGAACCTTGTTAGCTTTCTTGCAAAGTGAGCTAATCAGCAAAACATTGAATTAGAGAGAACTGCATTCTTTTCCTTTGGCCTTGATTAGCTTTAGGAAGGTAAAAACTGCCCTTAGATACCCAGAAAAAAAGAAAGTTATGGGAAGAAGAGGTCCTATTTTTTTTGCTCCTTTTTAGCTATTTAGGTGGATAGTGTGCTTGCAGAACATTAATAATTAAAAAGGTAATTGTCACATATAATATACACTAGAATACTGTGTTTAAACTTTTATTTACAGTGGGAGGCAGTAAATTTTGCAGGCTCCTTAAAAAATTTCCAGGAGAGAATGGTCAAAAGGAAAACCAGCCTGTTTGAACCTGTTTGGTATTTTGAGAGCATGTTTTGATCCAGCTCACAAAATGGCTGCCATAGGGCTGTTGCCTACTCACAAAATGGAGATTTTGTAGGTGTGAAATACTGTATAACAATTCCTGTTCATATGTAACAAGGATGCTGGGATTGCTATGCATCTTTCTCTAGATCCCCATAAACTTCCCATTGTCACTCTTAGTTGATCATAGTGGGTTGCTTGTTATTTTTTTTCCTTTTTGGACAAAAAGCAGTAAATTACAGGGACCAGCTATTTTTACTTTCTAAAAATGCCTATGTAAGCCCAAAGGCACTCATAGAGATGGAATATTGGCCAGCTTATTTTGCAGCATTGCATCAATGGAGTGTCTTTGAAATCCTTCATTTGAAGAGCTGGGACTGTAGCCCAACAAAAGAGATATCTTACACCAGGTTTTCTCCACCCTAGTGGCTTTCAGATGTGTAGAGTTCAACTCCCAGAATTCAGCATGGCTGGCTGGGGAATTCTGGGAATTGAAGTCTGCATACCTTAAAGTTGCTAAGGTTGAGAAACACTGCCTAACACTAAGACTAGGATAGAACAAGTACTCTGAGGGCTGGGGATAATAAAGTCATAGCCCAACTTCTCTAAAAGAAGCTACTTTGATGATCGATTTGGGGTAAGTCACATTCTCTTAGCCGAATGAGCAACACATAGAAATGATAACATAAACTTTATCCCCTACAAAGATATGAATCTATCTCAGTTTTCAGTATAATAGCAAAGTGAAGGCATGATATATTCCCTAAAAAGAGGAAGGGGACAAGGACCCAGGTTTTCCTTAAAATTACGGTAATTATGTTAGTGGAGAATAGTGGTGATCCTCCGTTCCACTTCCCCATATCCTGCTAAACATAGTGAAGAGAGAGAATGGCATTCCTCCTCTTTCATTCTTGCTTCTCAATGGCATTGACCAGTTGCTAAAAGTCCTGCTTCTGTGATGCTTGGAGGAAATGCTGAGGAAAGTGCAGTTGAGTATGACTTTCTTAAAAAGTTGCCCTTCTTGTGACTTTATTCATTTTTAATTACTTTAAGCCTATATTTATTAATAATAAAGCCTTTTATTTCAATTGGATGTTCCTATTTCCGCATGACTGTCTTTCTCATCTGCCACTAGAGGGGGCTATTGCGCTACTGTTTTGTTTCCGGGCTTCCTCGAAGCGTCCAGGTTGGGCGAAAAGTGCTGGGCCTTGGCGGTGATCTGAACCGCCTTCAGACATTCTTGTGAGACCCCCAAAAGTGCATGACGCCAACCACACCTTTTTGCTTAGACATCTCACCCTCTTTTCTCTGTCTGTTCAATTGCAAATACTATCTTTTCTATTACGGTATCTTTCCAACATTTCCAGAATAAGTCATTGCCTGGCAAGTACGATGGGAGCTTCCTTTGTGACTTAGCTTTCAAGAAAGTGTTTCCATTAGAAAAAAAAGAGTCTGAAACCCATCTAGGAAGCCCTGAAGGCTGAATGTGGCAAGTCCTGATTACTTTTTGTCCCTTGCTACTTTTGTCATTGCTACTTTTCCTATTCCTCCATTTCACTGTGGCCAGCTTGATTTTACTCAATATGATTATAATGTAGCTCAATACGCAGAGTTCATACAGTGTGCTAAATTCTAAACGCAATGAACTAAATTGTAAAACTAAACCACAATCTACTTTTAAAAATAATACATTCCTTGGGAAGCAGCTACTGTTTTTGGAGGTGGGGGAGGAGAGGGAGAGCATAAATTTATGTAGTACATTATGTGAAGAATAAGGTTTAGCTTGGAGGAGTAGAAATACCCTTCTCTAGATCTAAATATATGCAGTCCCAACAATTCTTTGCAGGAACATTATATACTATGCATTCACCTTCTGTAGTTTATATTATTGTAGAGGGTAGGGAAGATGAGTTTGGAGAAAATATGCAGGAAACCCTATTACCTAGGCAAAAGGGGCCAAAGTATTTATTCTGTTATTCTCTGTTAAATCCAGACCCACAAGATAACATTTAGGGAGCGGCTCAGGCAGACCCGTCTCTGATTCAATGAAGTACAAGGAGGAGGGACAGCACAATCAAACTTGCCAGATTCTGTTATTATACCCAGTCTCAACAAAAATGCAGAAGTGTTAGCCTCCCTGTGGAATTGATTGATTTCCTGATCTGGTCTATCTAGTGAGACTGACTTTTTGCTTCTTTCTTTCCAATCTTCAGGGAACTTTGTGAAAAGAATCCCTTTCTGCTGCTGCTACTTTTTTGTCCCATGCCCCGGGAGATATATATACTCACCTTGACCACCTCTTGGTTGATCTGCTTGGGGTCTCTTTCCACCAAATCAATCTCTTTGGTGAGAGGGTCCCGGGAGTCGATCTTCTCCAGAATCACGTCTACTATTTCTTGTTCTTCTTGTTGGGCCATAGCTCTGGGTCTGTTTCCTGTTCAGGGTCTGTCTGTCTTTCTCTCTGAAAAGCAGCCACCAGTTGCCTCTGACTGTCAGGGAAGAACGGCTTCTCCGCTGTTGCTGCCCCCCTCCCTTTTCTCTCTTGATAACTCTTGACAGCAGTCCACAGATAGAAATAGTTGCCATTGGAGCCAGAATGCACCTCCCTTTCAGTCAAGACTCAGTTGTTTTTTAGCTAGTCTGAATAGTTTACAGTCTAGGTAGTCTTTTCACCTTTATTTGTTAAAAAAAACAACAAGTCACTACACATAATTATAGAACAATCAGCTTTTTGAAATGAAATTTAAATGTATTGGTTACCAGTGTCTCAGTCTGGATTATGTACATCTCATTAAAAATAATCAGTTGAAGGAAAAATAATTACCGTATTTTCCGGCGTATAAGACGACTTTCTAAACCCTGAAAATCTTCTCAAAAGTCGGGGGTCGTCTTATACGCCCAGTCGTCTTATACGCCGGAAAATACGGTAGGTTATTTGAAAGGACACAAACAAATTTTCAGAGAGATGAAACTGGGAATATAAATGCATTTTTTCAAAGACACCAATCTATTTCTGTTGCAGTGCTATTGTCACTACTCAAAGGGGTTTCTGAAACCCTGCACAAATCTGCAGCAAACAAAATTGAGTGACTTGAGATAATGGCAAGATGAGCATAGGACCATGGTTCAGCAATACATATCTTATTAATATATACTATGTTATGGCTTTGTTTCCAAAAAAGGTTCTTGGTTTACACCAGCCCCAGGGCAGATTCTATTTGGAGGTCAAAATGACTCTTGTTGACTTGGCCAACCAAAGATAACAATAGCTGGGGATGGGATATCTCTATCCAGAAGCTCAGTTTAAGTATTTTCTATTTCTACAGGCTGGAAATAAATAGCAAAAGCATTTGGGGCTTCTCAATAAATTTCTGGAAGCATTTTCCAGTTTTAGAAAATTCTCTGGGTGTTGTAATGGGGTGGGTGGGGGGGATCTGAGGGATCCTTGGTGCTCTCTGACCTTGGTTGTTTTCTTGCAGGCATTTCATTACCCAAACTAGGTAACATCCTCAGTGCTAATCCCTCATTTCAAGCCTGAACTACAAATAATCTTCTTTATTTGTAAAAAGTATTCTGCATGCTGAGTGATACTGTCCTTCATAAATGGATTTAATTCAAGTTGAAGAGTCAATGCTTAGCTATTACTTACTTGCAAGTGAATAAAAGAAAAATGGGAGGATGTGCAGAAGTTTATTCAGCCCAACTCTTGCTATAAGATTTTCATAAGGAGTGTACTCGTGGCAAGTGAGAAATTGTAGCATCCAGATGAGGGAGGCTTAAACTTCAGTCAAACCTCACAAAATTCGTAAATTATACAACCCCTTCCTCCTCCAGTCATTCACTAATTGCTTACACAACTTGTTTAGCCAGGTCAGGTAAATACCTTGTGGCTGCACTGATACAACATACCAAGTTTGGTTAATGTTAATGTTGATTAGTATAGGTTTCTGTTTCAGCGGATTGTGTGAATCCAACCAATATGGTTACTTTATGGATCAGTGTAAAATGCAAACTAAGAAAAGGGTGACCAGTTGAAGTAAGTTGTGTGAATGCAGCCTCTGTAGTTTTAGACAGAACCCCACCCCTCCCCTGGAAAGCAATACAGCAGGGGTGTCAAACTGCTGGCCCACGAGCCAGATGCGTCATGGCGAAACCATGCCCACCTCATTGCCGGCAATGGGAAAAAAATCACGATACATCGCGACACGTGACGTGATGTGGCGAGTTTGACACCCCTGCAATATAGTGTAGTAGTGTGCAGAGAACTGAACGAAAGCCTCATTTTGGCCACAAGCATTCCTGCTGGATAGTTATTCACAAATCATCCCTGTTAGTAGAAGCATTAACAATATGCACCCTATGGTGCTAATTAGATAGGTTTGTTGTTATAGAAACAGCTAGTACATATCATGATATAATTATCTTGGAATATGAGCTTAGCTCAGCCATAAATGAATGCTAATAGATACAGTATATTTGAAGCAAAAGCTAGATTTTTGAAGAAATGCATAAAAGACAAAGTTTTAAATACATCTTGAAGAGGGAGAGAGTAGAAGAGAGAGGTTAGGGGAAGGAACTCTCAAACAGAGACTGATTTAACTTAGAATAGGTACAGTGAGAAACAAACACAAGAGATAATTGTCAAAACCTTTCCCTCTCAGCTAGCCCTGCCATTTGGTTAAAAAGTCTCTTAGGGGTAAAGAGATGATGCAATCTCTGACACCCACAAACAACAGGTTTTCACCCAGCACTAAACAAAGCAATGGCACTTGAAATGAGTACAGCATTAACTCCCATCGCTATGTACTGTAGTTAAATTTAGCAGCCACTGGTCATTTCTAGAGGGTACAGGACTCCTCTGCCAGGGAGGCAAGAGAAAGATCACAGGGTGGGTGTCCCCCGCGTGCAGCTGACTCTGGCATCGGCACCACCGTGGCCTCCTGCCAGCCCAATGCCATGCTTGAGAAAGAGAAATATGTGCCTGTAACATTAGCCTTGCTGCATGAGTGCACGCAGCTACTTTGCTGCCAGCCAAAGCTTTAGGGGACATCATCATGATGGGCACCAGCAGCTGTAGGCTGTACTATCCCCAGGGCAGTGGGCAAAAGAAATGTGGCATTTTAAGCTGTGGTCTTATCATGGAGATGTTTGTATATGCATGTGTCTGATTGGCTGGTATTAGGCAGAGAGCAGAGGCAGTCATTAAATCTAAGGCACATGTACATGGACAAGTACCAGCCTGCATTTTGTATAAATAATTCTACTGCCATTTCAGCTCCATCATGTGACTGGGGAAGGGGGGGCGTTTCAATGGTCATAACTTCAAGGACCAGTTGTAACTCACTTTTTTCAGCACTATCATAACATCAAGTGGTAGCTGAATGAATGGTCATAAATCGAGGACTACCTGTAAAGTTTAATTCTTGGCAGCTGTATTACAGGACGATTTAAGAGCAAAAATTGGGGGATTGCTCTGGCTTCATTTCCTCTCATTGTTGTCAGCCTATGAAATAACTAGTGTTAATTTTATTACTTAATGTGTGATGGTATGGTCTTGGTGTGGAGAGGAGGATTGGGGGATTTAGCCCCTTTCAAGTTGCCTGAATGATAGGTTGCTGCTGTGAAGGTGCCCTGCACTAGGTCACTGAGCTGTATCTCAACATGGTTACGTGGGTTATCTTGGAAGTCCAGTTAACCTATGTCCCAATTGCTTGGCAGGCAAATTGGGAAGGTGCGGAGGTGGGGTTCAGACTGAAGCAAGAATTGATCACATGGTGCATCAAGAAAACTCCCTCCACCTTTCCTGATTTGTCAGCTGGGCTATTGTGGGTGTAGATTTGGTAGAACTGCATTCAGAAATGACCAAGTGACTGGTCACAGGGGCTGCCAGGAGCACTGAGGATTGCCTCATCCAGCCCTCACCCTTTCACCGCACCTTCTGATCTGTCATTTAAGCTACAACAGGAAATTGGCAGACTTCTGGTCTATTTCACCCCAGATCTCAAATACTGTAGATAGTTATTGTAAAGGAATGGCAGTCTTAGCAACATGCAGCTGCAGCCAGCAGTTTCCAGAAATATTCTGGTGAACAGTTGAAATACTGCTGGCATAGGCAAGAGAGTATCCCCACCAAGTAATAAAAACAGTAGTGATGGTCATCACTTACTGATCAGAATAGGGACTGGTAACTCTGTTGTTAAGCAGTGCAGAAATTAAACATGATATCATGCAACCATGCCAACTTAGTCGGTCCTGTCGGGTTTGGGCTGCAGTTGTAACTGAATCACCATGGGTTGTTAAGCACAATGTTATATGACTCTGACTTGCGGCTTCCTGCTGGTTTCTCCATTGACTTTGCTTATCGGAATCCAGCTGTGAAGGTTTCAGATGGCAATCACATGACTGCAGGATGCTCTGACCGTTGTAAATGTGAGCCAGTTGCCAAGCATCTGAATCATGATCACATGACCATGGAGACACTATAGTAGCTACAACTTCAATGACTAGCCATGAGTCTTGCTTTTCAGCACTATTGTAACTTTGGTCACTGAATGAGTGGTTGGTAAGTGAGGACTACTGTAGAAAGCATTCACCTTGCACAGCTGGAAAAACCCAACTCTTTCCCAGTACATTGACCTTCACGAAGAGACTGCTAGTTCTGCATTTTAAACTTAGATCTAGTGCTCTTTTGAAAAATCACTAAGTATATTGTATACAAACAAGTCAAACACTGTTCCAGAAAAACACAAGGCTCAAGTCCATCGGAAAAGTACATAATGCCTGAAAGGTCTTGTCAGATGTCCCACTGGAACTGGGTACCTGATGTCTTCAGTAGCCCAAGCCAAATGGCCATGAAAGACAAGGCCCAGTGCCCAGAGGTGATGGGTTGTTCCCACAATAACCAAAGGAGAAAAGGAAAAACATTACTTTGAACCAAAACAGTGCAAGGGCAATGTAAGCTGCCCATGTGGTAGATGAATTGTAACAACAGTTAATGGGGTGTCTTTGTGCCATGGAATATGAGTTTTTGCCCCCAAGACAAAGCAAGCAGAAAGGAAACTAAGCAAAGTTTATTGTTGTTCAATCTGCAGGGGTGGGGATTTAACATAATATTAATTCCAGTTATTAATAAGGGAAGGGCTGGAGTGAATCATCTCTCAGAAGCGTTCTGGAATTGGAAGCATTTCCTTTGCAAACCCCACTCTTAAGTTATGTCTCATTAGTGGGATTTATCCCACCTGATGACCTCCAGAAGTGGTGGGATGACAACTTGTAAGAGAACATTAGATTGGGAATGGCTGAGTTGGTGGGCTATTGCCAATCTGTTATCCTTATCTTTTCCCAATGTGGATATGCGTGATGTGGATTGGAGAGTCACTGAGGGATAAGAATTGAGGACTGAATACAGCTCAACTCTTGGGAGAATTCAGAAAGAATCTTCTGGACTCTGAGAAATGGTGGACCATGGAGCAGAGAAGGCTTTGGCTGGCCACAAAATGGCTGCCATTGTTAGCATGGTACTGTAGCACAAAATATCATTTTATTAGAGAGCAAACTGGGGAAGCTATTTCCTAATAACCTTCTCCAGCTTTGCAAAATATTGTTGGCTTTTGCCTTTGGAGGGGGAGAGAAGTGGCATATTTCAAAGAAAGTTGTGTCCTGAAAGCGCTCATTATGTTTACTTTCTCACAATGCCTGTGTGAGTCCTGGTGGAATAAAGAGAATGCTAAGATGGTGCTTTGCTTTGCCCACTTCCCATTTGACTTTTTTTTGAAATAGAAGAATCGGGTGTGTGTGTGTGTGTTGATAAAATAAGGTGATTCCCAGGTGGTCAAAGCATTTTTATGCCATAAGAACCACATAGCCTACTTCTGCCTTACAAAATGGAGGTGCATAGGCTTGGGGAAAGGACTTGCCCATTTTAGTTTCCAAATGGAAAGAAAAAAAGGAAGCATCATTCTGAAGCCCTGTTTGCAAATCTGGGCAGAGGAGAGGGGTTTGGAAAAGAAAAGGTGGGAAGAAGTATTTGGGAGTCTACCCTACCATTCATTCTCCAAGAAGGCTCCCTTTCCATTTTTTTTGCCTGTCATTCCCCACCACAACTCCAGTCCCATATTTCAAGGCCTTGGTTAAAAAAGTCCCTTGGTCAGTCCTTCTGGAAATCGAACATATTCAGTGGGTTGCATAATGAGACGTCAGTGCAGCATAGATCTCGATGTAAGAATATCCTTGTATCACTTTTGAGTGACTGTGAGGTAGATGGCACTGCAGCAGCGTCCCAGGCTAGTGAAAAGAGGGGCTATCAAAACATCCAAGATGCTAGCCCAGAGGGTGCGAACTGGAGGCATGGCCATTGTACACAACTGAATGCAAGGCATCACACACCTGTTGTGGGAAGAAGAAGGGAGAATTTAAAAAGGTTGGCCTTCTAGACAAACCTTCCCTACTCTTCCTTAATTTACACTTCAGTAAACCAGCTGTTTCACCGAATCTATATCCTGCTTTTCTGCAATATATCAGATAGCTAACAACAAGTGTAATGAAAATGAAAAATAAAAGACAACATAAAAATAAGAGGTATGCTCAAAACAATGAAAATTCTATTAAAACATACCTTAAAGGTATGTTGGTAATTCAGACAAGTAATGCATGAACTCATACAATTAACATTATGGAGCTAGTTTGGTCTAGTGGTTAAGGTGCACCAAGCTAGAGAGACCATGATTTCAAGTTCTGCCTTAGCCATAAAAGCCAGCTGGGTTAATTCAGGCAAGTCCCCCTCTCTCAGCCCATCCCATAGGGTTATTGTAGAGAAAATAGGAGGAGGAAGGGGTATTAGGTATGTTCACCACCTTCAGTTATTTATAAAACAAATAAAGGCAGGATTTAAAAAAATCTTAAAAAGTGGGTAATGAGGAAGGAGCTGGCCCTTTGACATCCTTTGACAGGAATGCTCAAGCACGAGAGTGACAACAGAGAAGGCCCATCTTGTCTTCCTACAAAACTCTACTTAGATTAACCAAATAGATCAATTAAGCCTACCATTTAGATTGTTTTGGACATTATTTTCCATTATATAACATTTTAATACTAGTATTTAATACTAGTGCTGAATTTGTTTTGTATTTCACACAATCATAACATTTTTATTTTGGATTGTATCATTTTGATTTGCATATTTATCTAATTCTAAGAAATTCTTATGTTGTCATAAAGAAGATTGGTTTATAATGGGCCTTCAAACTTGGCCCTTTTATGACTTGCGGACTTCAACTCCCAGAATTCCTCAGTCAAGCACACTGGCTGAGGAATTCTGGGAGTTGAAATCCACAAGTCATAAAAGGGCCAAGTTTGAAGACCCCTGGTTTATAACTTTCCTTCTAACATTCCTGTTTGCTGCATACAATGAGGTTCTCTGTCCAGAATAAACAGATATATTTTCTTCCATGTAATTAGTTTATATTACTAAAGTCCTTATTTGTTTCAGGATTATGATTCTTTTTGTGACTAATTTTGGTGACAACTTTGGAGTTATTGTTTTCCCTGAATACCCTGAATGTTTGCATTATTCTTATGGCAACAGTACCATAAGAGGCTGAGGTTGCAAAGCATTCTGGAAAAATGCAAAGCAGACATCAAAATTAGCCCTGGTGTTGGCTCATTTCTTGTTTTGCAATGGCCTAATTCCTCAGAATGCCTTAATTACACAGCAGCTACTCCTTGTCTGTCCTTCAGTGCCAAAGTCCTTTGCTTAAGGGAAATAGTGACAAACATCTCAAGTATATACCAAGTGCACTCACAATTCAGTCCAAGATAATCTTATACATATATTTGTCTGTATGCCCATGCCAGCATGGTGTAGTAATTAAATTCCTGGTAGGAAGTAGGGCAGGGATGGCGAACCTTTTAGAGACCGAGTGCCCAAACTGCAACCCAAAACTCATTTATGTATTGTCGGGTGCCGGGTGGGCATGGCTGCGGTAGTAACGGCAGACTGGGTGGGACTAAAAATTTCAATCAATTACAACTTTGTGAGATCTTTTTTTTTTTTCCCCCGCAAGAAGTTGACATTGATTGATGATTGAACCTTTTTTTTTTTGCACACGGCGGCAGAGGCCCAAAGCGAAAAGGTTTTATAAAACCTTGCTGAAGGCCTAGGATTGGGGCAACAGCGTGCGTGCCCACAGAGAGGGCTCTGAGTGCCACCTGTGACACACGTGCCATAGGTTCGCCACCACGGGAGTAGGGAGACCCACATGCTTTCAACCTTAGACTGGGAAAGTAAAAAAAATCTATCAACCAACTTGCACAGGGCCAACATGGTAAATTATGATTCATAACCTTCAGAGAAGATATCTTTATCTTGCTTTGAATTCCTTTGGGCTGAAAGTAATCTCTCTCTCTCTCTGTTTGTGTGTGTCTGTCTCTCCCTCCCTCCTTCCCTCTCCCTCTCTCCACAGAATGGGGAAAAGAGTGGGGCTAGCTTTAAGAATAGATAGAATGCAGAATTGCTGGTGCATAATTTAATCTCCTTTGACTGTTCTACAAGAAGACAATTGTATTTCTCACTCTCACATGGCATCTCTGGGTGACCATCTTGCATTGGAGATGTTCTTCCATGACTTTCTTCAGTTCCAGTCCCTCAACTCACATGCAGAAACATAAGAGTTTTTCTAATACGGAACTGTGGAAATTTGCATGGGGCTGTCTTTTCTGAATTAGTAAGAAACAGAAGGAACTGAGATGTAGGCAAAGGGGTTTTTTAAGGGGTGGAGATATCTTAGGCCTAATGTCCTCACCCTGAATGGCCCGCTTTCTTTCTCACCACTGTATTTATAAACTCTATCTTTAACTGAACCAGGGTTTGTTGAATTTAACCAGATGTGTAGGTTCATACAATACACTTAGACTTAGCCATAAACTTAGCATCATTCTCTTAGTATATGATGCAAACTTAATCCCTAGCAATTGTTTGCAATTACAGTGGTGATAAAAAAGTAACTTAGTAATCAATCTTCTCATTTATGACTTTCATAGGTCTGTAAAGTAAAGAAAAATTGAACTAAGATTGTAAGCCCAATTGCGGTTTCACTTAGCAACCACTTCGCTTAATAACCAAATTGCGGCTTCAATTGCAGTTATTCAATTGCTAAATGAATACCTGTACTGTAATTTTCTTGCCAGATTTTACCCCATCTCTCAAGTCTGTACAGTATCAGCCCTTGCATATTCCTTCTCCCACATCCTTCTTCTGTCAGTGCAGAGGGCACTGGAATCAATAATTGGGTTCTGCTGTTGCTTTCCATGGTATTTATGGCTACTCAAGAGAGACATGGGAAGGCCACTATAATATCTGCTTGCAAGTGAGAAGTTTTGAAGCCTCATACACAGTGTATAACGTCCACGTGCTGTGGAGATTTCTATGGCCAATTTGAGTACTACAAAGCTTCACTCTGCTCATCCAATAACTAAAACTATTTTCTTAAGAAAAAATCAACAGGTGTATTTTCCACTTGGCTGCAAAACTCTCCCATATTATAGGTTCATTCTACAACCTGCAGGAGGACTTGTTCCCATACAAATGTCTCTTCCCTCTTACCAAGATCTAGACTGCAAAAACCCAGATACCAATGAGGAGGGCTTTCTGGTGCATCTATTGGCCATCTACAGTAGATCTTGAATAATAATAAATTTGAATAATAATAATAATAATAATAATAATAATAATAATAATAATAATAATAATAATAATAATAATAATAATAATCTTGTAGTCCAGATCTGTCTGCTCTGCTGGTATGGAGGTGTGGAGAGGAGGTGGTCTGAGAAACACAGTAATGCAGGAAAAAAGAAAAATCTGACACAGATGTGCCATGGGGCAGAAGGTGATCTAGGAGATGCTGGTGGAGTCATAGTCAAGGAGGCTGAGAATCTATATGTGATGTTGGTTGGTCATCTTTGTTCAGATCAGCCTTCCATAATCTGCTTGTGGTTGACTGAGTTAGGGAAACTTTCCTCTTTGTGATTGCAATATGTCATTTATGATGCACCTAATATCCGCTAAGGTAGCATGCAATAGAAGGAAGATTGGTGATAGTCAGGAATTGATCTTTCCAGGCCCTTTTTTGCATTGGGTTTACACAATGCAGATGTGGCTGATTATTGGTAGTTTGCTATGTTGTATAAATAGAGCTAGTGAGGTTGTTTTATGGTTTGGCGTGTTATATAAACCCAGACAAAATAAAAACTCTAAAAAAATTATTCTTCATTATATTAACATATATAGATTAGGTTTTTTTTTTTAAAATGTCAATCTAGAAGTGGATTCTTTTTACCTTCTTCAGGGATTTATTTTTTTTACTCCCCATTTAAGTTCCCAGTATTGGCTTCCTAGAGGTCTCCTATCCAAATCCTCACCAGATCTGTCCCTACTTATGTTTTTCAGAGATCAGTCAAAATCAGCTAGTGCTGCTGTTTGCTTGTCGGTATACAAACTGAGGTGATTAGATTAGTTTAGTAAATCATCATCATGGATCAGAAAGTTATACAAAGATAACTACCCATGTGGATGCAAGTAACCTGAGAACTATCATGGCCTATTGCAATGGTTGATAGTTCTCCTACTGATGATTAAGAGGTTGCTTTGTTTTTAAACCAACCAGGAGCGCAGGTTGGCTGGAAGCACTAGTAAGTCCAAGTGATGTTAGGAGACAAAGCCAAAAGAAGATGCTCACCAGATATGGAGACAGCCTAAGCAGGCAAAGAGAAAGCCTGAACACAAAGAGACTGGCACAGCACAGAGCAGTGAGATAATACGGTAACACCAGAGGCGGGAGCTCTCAAAGGTGATGTCGCTCCAGGTCCAAATCCGATCAAAGGTACGGAACGAGGAAGGTTCTGCAAGGATGTCGGAGAATTCCAGCTACCAAGAAGAATGGGAATTTGGTTACTAAGGCTTCCTCACTGGACAGATTAGATTAGATTAGGCAGAGCAAAGAAGCTGGTTATCTGTGTTTGTAGACATAGTATTGTCAAGCTCTGCTCTGCAGGACATAACCCAAGAAGCAAGAATCACACAGACATTAAGGATTTTAATGCAAGAATAAGCAGAGAATTTAGGCAACTGCAATACAAAGCCCAAGCCGTAATTTATTAAAGAGTTCATTATGGTGGAGTCTCTTTGAATCTCTTCTTCCTGAGCATTAGTAGCTTGGACTGAACTGCTAGTTATGAAATAAATTACTAATAAATTCCATCCCTTTCTCTATTCACTATATCTAATATTCCTCCTCCTTTCTGAGATTCCCCACAAATACAGGGTCAAGTGAGTGTGTGTGGGCATGTATATATGAGAAAAGAGAATGACTGACTAATGATGGACTTTGAGACATATTATAAGAAAATCAATCAGGAAAGACAGAACATTTGGGGCTGAAGAAGGGAAACATAAGTAAGCCTGCATTTCAAAGGTGGGAGGAGACTGAGTTTTAAAGAGGACATAGCTCCCTTGCTGGACAGCATGGCTTCTTAGAGCTGTGTTCTTATATCTTGGACATCCCAAACATGGTTATACTTTGGTTCCCCTTCTTACCTTTAGATGTTGGTTGATCCCATGTGGATCTCGGGGATCGGTTTTGGGTGGTATGTTGACAGTGGATTGCAGGAGCATATTAGTTCCTGGTTCTTGCAAATGAGGATCTTCTGGGTCTAATTTATACTCCGCCAAGTATTTATCACTGATCATCTTGAGAATAGCTCAAGGGTTTTCAGAATGGCGGATCCAGGGATGCTGTCAAGTACCTCCTAATACATGAATCTATGGCACTTTCCCTTTTTACAAACACTACGTCTTATTTTCCAATTATCCTCCCTGTCTGTCTGTCGTGCCTCCTCACACTATTTTATTGCTTTACAGGAATCTGACTCCAGTTCTATTCTCAGCTTCAGCCAACATAGACTGGAAGGAAAGGCCAGTCAAGGAGGGTGGATCTTGGCAATTGCACACCCCCATCTGGTATTTTCAGCTATGAGGCAAGCCACATGTGTAGGGATAAGGGTTATAAATATGTCACTGTCCCAATGATCCTTTGCTGAGAGATAGAAATGAGGGGAGGAGGATAGGCCAGCTAAATATACAAGAAGCCAAGCTATTCTTACAACAACCGAGATTAGGATGGAGTTCCATGGATTAGAGCAGAAGAATTCCAAGGCAGAATAATTATGCTGATGCAGCCAAGTGGGTTTCATCAATGTGGGGTGCCATCTAATGGCCACTGAACTCCTCATAGATTTATAGAGTAATGCAGAAGTGAAAAAAAGATGTTTTTGTGCAGAAACTGAACAAATCCACATAACAATAATTAGGAATACAGTAGTTTGCACGTTATCTGGATTCATGTACTGCGCAAAGCCTTAGTTTATTAAACAAACTACAATTGGTCAAGTTTACAGAATGTGCTAAACCGTAGATTATGGCTTAAAGCTAGAATACTTAGGCTCACACAATATGCTAAGCCAGAGTTCCCCAACCTTTTTGGCTTTGCGGCCCGGCCCAGATAACGCTCTTTCATTAATAAACTTTTTAACAGAAACAATTCATCCTTGATTTTCTATTGGTTTGGAAATTAAAGGGCCATTTTATATTGAATAAAACATTTATTTCTTGTAATCTGAATGCTGATCCTGTACTTATTCTTACAATGTGGGCCAGTCACTATCTCTTTAGCACAATCTATCTAACTGGGTTGTTATGAAGGTAAAATAAAGGGAGAGCTCCGTATCAGCTTAAACTCCTAGATGATGTTTTAAATAAATAAGGACAATAAATACACTTATTTACAAGCAGGGATTGGTAAAGGGTCCCAGCCCCTCTTGTAATATATAGAAATGTTATTTATGTAATGGCACACAACACAGAATTGAGTTCAGTTATTTCCTAAGCAAACTTATGGGCTGCTTTTTCTTGGAGGAAGAGATAATGCTAAGAGTGGATCAGGATATGATAATATTTTTGCCATGTGACTTAAACTATTCTGTGGATCTGTTTCTCTCTAGCAATGTTATGGAGTCAAGTTAACTAAATCATGCTTTGTTCTAGTCCTATGTGCATATTTGCTTTGGCAATTTGATTGTGATTTGGTTCAAAGCATCAGACTGACTCAGATGCTTCCAGATTGATTCATGTACCATGTAATTTTTCTGAACTGAACTGACTTTTTAAATTAGATTGATTTGGTGATTTAATTTAAAGCTTTGAATTTGCTTGACTTTGTAAATTGAATTTGCTCAGCTACATCCATTGAATTAACTTTTGAAGAAGAGCTTCAGAAGAGAAGAAATGTTAGGGTGCAGTGACTTGAGACTGCTTGAGGGCTCATCTTCTACCCAAATGTCTGTTGTGAGACTAGGCTGAAGTTGCCATAAGCTGAAAATGGAGCAGGCACATAGGTTTAAATTATTCCCACTGCATACAGTCACACAATACACATGAAATTATGCCCTGGGTCCAGCATGGGAGGAATTGGGTATTTAATGGATTCTGCAGAATCCTTCAACTATTTAAGAAAGGGCTACAGGAGAACATTTTAAAATAATCTATTTGGGTTTAAAGGGATCTATAAACTATTCTAAAGGGATCTAAAGATGGAGAATGACATGCAATTCTCCATAATTCCAAACCTTTCTATAGTGCAGTGATGGCGAACCTTTTAGAGACCGAGTGCCCAAACCGCAACCCCAACCCCACTTATTTATCACAAAGTGCCAGGGCCGCATCAGCATTGTGGTGCCTTCAGGGGGGGCAGGGAGGCGCCTCTGGCATGCAAAAACCGGGGGCGCAAAAATGGGCCACTGTGCTGCAAGGCGCAAAAATGGCCACCACCGTGCCACGGGGTGCGAATACAAAGCGCTGCACCACACAAGAACAGGGCTGGGCTAGTGAGTATCATGCAGGCACTAGCTCCGCCCCATTTGCAGCACATATGTGCTTGCGGCCCTGTGCACGCATGCACGCATGTAAAATGCTTCCCCCTCCCTTTTCTTCCAGTCCACCAATTGACAATGGTTGGTGACCTCTGCTCTACCACCTCTACTCAAGCTTGCTAGTTGGCCGCTTCGCCTCCTTTGTGCTGGGCGGAGCTCCTGCTCCGGGCAATGGTGGCAGCCTGATGGACCTGCTGCTGCTGCTGCTGGTGGCGCGCGTGCCAACACAGAGGGCTCTGAGTGCCACCTCTGGCATGCGTGCCATAGGTTTGCCACCACTGCTATAGTGAATCCATTTTGAAAGACCTAGCACCGTCATTCAGGCACCCTCTGAGCATTAGGTTCATCCTGGTGCCTTCCTTCTCTGCAGGAAGCCTTGTGATTTTTTTACTGGACCTGTGAAGTTTTTCTTGCATGTTTCCTTCGGAAGGCAACTGTCCTGCTCTCAGGAGCCTCCACTGCCTACAAAACTTTCAGTTGGGCAATTCTTACCTTGTTCTCTCTTCCAATGAGAGGAGGCGGCTGTTTAAGTATGGAAAATGCCCCATAGTAGTATACCCTTATTGCTATGTTGTAGTTTTAAACAGAAAAAAGCTGCAAAACCCTTGCATTTGTGACATATTTGGCTCTACCACTTATTTCGAAGTACATCCATGACCTAATTACAAGGGAGAACTTCAAAAATCCACCTATTATTTTAACCCTTCCATTTTCCGGCTCACACATGAGTTGTCCCACCTCATCTAATTGAAGACTCTAAATCTGTTCTATTATTTTGGAATCCAAATCCTTTTACTTTAGCTTGTGGGGTGTTCAAATTCTATTTCACACAGCAACAATGAAGCAGCGTGCCAGCGTGGTGTCATGGTCCGTATTAAGAACCAGATTCTAATTCTTTATGCATGGAAGTTGTCTTCTGTGGCCTTGTGCCAGCCATTCCCTCTTAGCCCCAGCTTTGTCAACAGCTGATTATACCCCCCCCCGCCCTTGCTTTACCATGTGAAGTGTGTGAGTGCAGTGCAAAAATGAATGGACCATCCCCCTGCAACTGTATAATAGAAATGCAAAGAACAATAACAACAGCAGTGGCATTGTAGTTTTTGATTTTACTCACTCACTGGTTAGTATTGATTTACATCAAAAGGCAGATACATTCCCATGGCATCTGCTAGCTCCAATCAACACAAACCATAGGCCAGTAGAAAAGTCTTCTCACAAAATATATTGAAGCCCAGGAAATCTCCATAAGATCATATGTGGCTTATGGGCTGTCTGCCCTCTTCAATGGAGCTCTGAGGCTGGAACAAACACCTTAATTTACTTCATGGTAGGACACAGCCTCCTTTTTAAAAAATTGAACCCCTAAGACTGATGAGGAACACATCAAACAAAATACTGGCTGGTTTCACACAGTACTTTAAGCAATGGTATATTTTTTTTTAAAAAAACTGTGATTTGTTAATTAAATAGCAATAGCCAGATTGGCATGTAATGCTAAACCATAAACCAAAGTTTACAATGATTCAGACTTTTATGTTACCTCAAAGCCAACCGAAAACATTATAGAGGAAACAGGATATTGGAAAAGGAAATTGTTTCCCTAGTAACTGCTCCAGTGTTGCCCCCTTGTAACAGATTATCAGATTATCAGGAAATTCATTCCTTGGCAGACAACAACCCCCCCCACAATCCATTCAGAAGCTTTGTCTTGCCAATGTCAGTTTTTTCTGACACAGGTTCCATTCACTTAGCGTTGCTGAGCAGAATCGTGTCTCTGATGAACTGAGAGCCAGCCTTAGGCAACCTACTGGTTGCTGAGAGTCAACCATTTTGCAGGAGTGCCCGTCACACCTGCCTTTCTGCCTGCAAGCTGCTGTCTCAGGAAAGAGTGTCTCGGCCCAGTGAGAAGCTGCCTGTGAGAATGGAGTCTTCATACAGGGAGCCGACTTGCCGATGGGCCCATCTGGGGCAGAAGATTCGGCGCAGTTCACTTGAGATGCTGTTGCTGAATGTGGCATAGACCCAGGGGTTTGTGCAGCTGTTGAGGCTGGCAACAAGCATCAGGAGAGTGAAAGCTGGGCCTGGAGTAAATAATAGGAATGAACAACTATTGGAGTTACCAACAGAGGTTAAGATCATCAAAGTTTATCTTGCAACTTATTCAGTAAAGGCAGATCCATCATCACCGAGGAACTAAAAAATGTGCTTGGGATTAAAAGAAGAACTTCACATGAGAGTTTTTCTCTAGTCAAAAACTAGTTACTCAACCCAGCCCTTGGTTAACTTCAGCTCTTTCCATATGGAAATGTAAGGTAATGTGATGTGATATAAATACGATATACTGTAAGTAATACAATGCAATGCAATGCAATTCAATACAATCAAAATACAGAATAAAAGGCATGATTCACTGCATTTATTTGATGCATGTATTGTTTGATTGGTGCTTAATTCCATGTTCTGCTGAATTAATTCAGATACTTTTGCGTGAATATTTGATTGTATTGGATTACAAAATAAGAAGACAACAACTTTAATCTAGGATCAGGGAAGTGGCAGGCAAATTATGAAGGGAGGGCTGGGATATTGGATCAATATCTCTAGTAGGTAGTCAAATCAGAAAGCAAAGTCTCAGAGGAACCACAAAAATATCAGGGGAGAAAATAACATCACAGACAGACAGAGAGACAGACAGACAGACATTAGTCTCGACATTCCAACAGACCTATGGAGAGGTTCTGAGTATGTTATCTTTACATATTGTGCTAAGCCTGAATGTTAAAAATATGTTTAAGACTTGCTGGGGTGTAGTAGTTAAAACAATGGATTAGAACTGGATGACTCTAGGTCAGCGTTCCTCTCTCTCTCATTAGGTTGTTATTCAGTGGTGGGATTCAGATATGTGAACAACCGGTTCTCTGTGTGGATGCCGCTTCTGGAAGTCCATTCTGGGCCTGGGCAACAAAAAATTAGCTACCGGTTCTGCCGAAGTGGTGCGAACCGGCCGAATCCCACCACTGTTGTTACTACTGTAGAAATAAAATGAAGGAAATATCAATGGATGCATTACTCCAGGGTGGGAAGGAAGGAAAGGAAGGAAGGGGGAAGGGAAGGAAAGGAAAGGAAAGGAAAGGAAAGAGCCTCCTGTTCATAAAAACTGTCATGGGAATTAGCAGAAAGAGAAGGGGACCCCCCCCCCTCTTTTCCTATGCTGTTTTATTGGATAAAAGAGCCTTCCTTAATCCAGTATCCTGCAAATGAGTCGGACAAAGTTCCATCATTCCTCCTGATCAACATGGCAAAAGCCACTAGGTTGGGGGAATCTAGGATACAATCTGGTTAAAAAGCTGTTACTGAATGCTGCATAACCTACCTTCAGTAGGAGCTTGAGGATCCCAAACAGCCCATAGTTGTACTAGGAAGAAGGGAGCCCAGCAGAATACATAGGTGAGCACAATGACCAGTGTCATCTTAAGAGTCTTAGCTACAGCACCAGATATAGGGGAGGGCCCTTGTTGGCTCCCCCTGCGAGACAGGGCTGCTTCTGGCCCCAAACGCAGGCTGCGGTAGACCTCACAGAAGATCATGCCTTGGCAGGTGGCAATGAAGAAGGTGGGAAGGAGGAAGACCATCAGAGTCATCCAAGTGACATAGGCCCGGGCTCCCCAGGGTTCAGCAAAGGCTGCCCAGCACTCGTGGGCTCCGCTGGGCAGTTCTGTTTTAGAGAAGATGAAAAGCTGTGGGAGGCTGAGAAGGAAAGATGCTATCCATGCCAATAGCACAGGTCGATGCCGTGAGGTTGTCCCTCTACGAAAAGCCAGCATGGGCCGGCAAATGGCACGGTAGCGATCATAGGTCATGGCCACAATAACATAGGATGAGGCAAACATACCGACCACCTGCAGGTAAGTGATGGCACGGCATAAGATGTCGGGGCCTTGGAAGCGATCAGTGATGTCCCAGATGAGCTGAGGGAGCACCTGGAAGAGGGCCACTGTCATATCGGCCAGGCAGAGGTGTTGGATGAATCGATGCATCAGGCTGGCCCGGCGGCCCTGGCGGAACAGAGCTCCAAGCACCAGGGCATTGCTCAGAGTGGCCAGCAGGAAGATGGAAGCCAAAATGGCAATTTCAGCCTGAGCCAAAGCATCATCACGGTCATCGGATGGAGGGAGCGAAGCATTGGAAGGGGGTCCTAGAAGCACAGAGGAAGTGTTTGGCATTTGGTCCTGCGAACGTCACAAGAAAAGAAAAGAAAAAAGGTCAGATCTGTCCATTTTCCCAACTTCCCAACTTCTCCAACTCCACCAAATGTTGGCTGGGAATTCTGAGATTTGTAGGGTGCATTAGAAAGAAGGTGATTTTTTTTATAAAAAAAATAAATGTTGTATCCTTCTGTTTTCACTCGTCTTCCACTTTGTTATTTATATATTGTTACAACAGATATATAGATAATCCTCGACTTACAATTATTTGTTTAGTGTCAGTTTGAAGTTACACGGTGCTGAAAAAAGTGCTTAAAATTAGTCCTCGCGCTTATGACTGTATCCCTGCAGTCATGTGATCAAAAAAAGCACTTGGCAGCCAGCTTTTATGATGGTTGTAGCATCCCGGAGTCTCATGATTGCTATTTGTAACTTTCTCAGCTGGTTTCCAACAAGCAAAATCAATGGGGAAAGCTGGATTTGCTTAATGACCATGTGACCCGTTTAACGACTGTGGTAATTTGCATAACAAACCATAGCAAAAAAAAGGTGATAAAATGAGGTGTGGTTGACTTAATGACTGCCTGGCTTAGTGACAGAAGTTCTGGTCCTAATTATGATTATAAGTTGAGGACTCCCTCTACCAACCTCTGTTTTTAAAAAGTCTGTGTATGGTAATGTTTTACAGAAAGGGCTGAGTACAGGAAATCCTTTATCTTACAGTTATGGTTACTTATTGGAGGCACCTTGACTGAAGGTGTCTGCATCTTCCTGGACATCTTTTCAGATTAGCTGAAACCCTGAGACTTAATTGCCTTTAAAATAAATTTGGTTTTCAGATTTTGAGCCAACATCTGTAACTGTACTTTGGTGCAGGTATACTGGTCTCAGTCTTCCAAAGCAAAGAGCTAAAGCTTTGGCAATTTGGTTTATATTAGCCATTTGTATCAATATAGTAAGTAGGTAAATGCAACAGATAAAATTGTCGGGGTGGGGGGAAGGAATTCAGATTTTTTTTTTCAAGCCATGGTACCTGCTAATGAGAAAAAAAAATCTCAGAACCTCTAATCAAGAGGCGAGGCTACAATGACTGAAAATTGGCAGTGTTAAGTGAATCTTTTCTTTTTCTCCTTCCTGCCTTTAGTCTCTCGCAAAATCTCATCAATTTTTTTTACAGAATTGTAAAACAAATACACAACACCATTTGAAAAACCCTGAATTAAGCTGTTTCCTATGATGCTCTTCTTCCAAAGCATCATATCTCCAAGCTGGCAGAAGGTAGATAGGAATCTACTACAGCATTTGGTACATTTCTAACAGTTGAATCTTTTAACAACAGTAACAGCATGATCCCTCCACCCATCCTGAATAAATCTGCCAAAATGAAGAAAATGGCATGGAGCAGAGCTGGATAAATCGGAGTACGTGTTGTGTTGGAAGCCTATGAACTCCATTCATTTTTGGTCCACAATAATTTTGGGTTGCTTTGTGAGGATTGAAAAAGAGCAGAAGGAAACTCAGAATAACAGAGTTGGAAGGGATCTTGGAGGTCTTCTAGTCCAGCCCCCTAGTCAAGGAGGAAACACTATACCATTTCAGACAAATTGTTATCCAATCTCTTTTTAAAAATCTCCAGTGTTAGAGCACCCACAACTTCTGGAGGCAAGTGATTAGTTGTTCTTAATTAGTCACTTAATGCTAATTTAAGCCAGCATTTGAGGAAGGGTACAGGAAGGAAATAGACAGGCAGAGAGCAACATTTAAAGTCCAGGTTTAAGCTTGCTGCCTTGATGTTAGATTTTCCATACTCAAACCCTTACCTTGTCATTCATAATCGGAGCATCAGCCGGCAAGTGGCTTCAACCAATAAACCTTACTCTGCCAGTTGATGGTTTGTTTGCAGATCGCACTCAGGGCAAAAGAGAGGAACTGGCCTGCTCAGAGAGGTCAGGAAGAAATCTGAAGGAAACCAGGAATTCTTTCCTGGATCTTTCTGAAGAAATTGCTTCACCTTTTTCTTAATGTGATATAGTGAAATGTAGAGCTTTCAGTAACCACAATCAAGGAGGAGGAACCCCGGAAAGAAGGGGGTGGGAGTAAGAGAATTAATTACACTGACTTTTTCCCACCCTCAGGCAACACTGCTGGTAGAAGTTAACTTGCTGACTTGACTGAATGCCAAACACACTGGCTTTGCACAGTCTTTCCCAAGAGTGAATGAAAACTTTCAGGGAGGAGGAGGAGGAGGAGGAGGAGGAGGAGGAGGAGGAGGAAGTAGCAGTAGTTCAGGGTGGGTATTAATAGTTCTCCTCTCCTCCACTGTATTCCCCCCAATTCTAGATCTTTCAGTTTTCAAATCAAGAACGAGTTAACCTGCAGCATCATGATTTATATAATACACTCCAGCTCTTGAAATCAAGGTGTCCTCTGTTCCAGGTGCTTCAATTGGTAGACTCCACTCCTTCCCATGGCAAGACTTGCACAGTTTATTAACCTACAACTTGCATGGGCATGGATTAGGTCATCAATTCTGATGGATTGTTTGCTTAACTCAGCATAAGAGAATTTCATAGGTAATACACCACCCTTTCCCCACCCCCACCCATCACCTTCAGTATCTGCTATGCAACTGTTTAAAAATATAGAAGTAAAAGAAGAGAAAAACAAATCACCAAGTATTGTTGACCTAGTTAGATCCCCAAAGCCTTGAGTTATTAAAGCATTTTTTTCTTTCCTCATTTAGTTATACATCATCAGACAAGACAACATGAGACAGAGAGATATTAATGTTACACCTGGCCTAAAATCTCACCTCCAGTTACTTTTGCCAAATGCAGATTCCTGTACTCATGCTGATTTGCTTTTTGAGTTGGAAATACAAAGCAAAGTTATGTGGGCACTTTCATTGCTGGTTTAGGGTTTTATTTGTGAAGGTGAACCTCAAATCATGAAATACAACACATCAAAGTCCTTCTGTCCAGTCCAAAAGCAAGGCTGTGCTAGAATATATCATGTTTTCCCCAAAATAAGATCTACCCCAAAAATAAGCCCCAACTTGAGTTTCGGGGTAGGCCTAATATAAGCCTTACCCTGAAAATAAGCCCTACTTAACAGCCTGTGCAGCTGGCCACCTACCCATTCTGTCTGGTTGCTGCACATGAGGTGAGGTGTGCCTTGCCACAGGGATCCTGCGGCCAGGCCGTCCACATCTCGACACCCATCATGCTTTGTCGTGACAGCATCAACAACCCCATCAAGGAGCTTGGCCACTGCCCCTTTTCCTGAAGGCCTCTGCCGGTGAAATGGAGGCCGGGGGCGACACGCGCGAGCGGTGGCAAGTGGCCGCAGAATAAGTGGGCTGGTGGTGCGACAGGTGTCTGGTCACGGCCTGGCTACAGTGGTCCTGAGGTAGTGTGACCTACCCTGAAAATAAGACCCAGTGCCTCTTTTGGAGGCAAAAAAAAAAAAAAAGACCGTATCTTATTTTCTGGGAAATATGGTAGATGGTTCTTGAATTACAAAAGTTCATTTAGTGACCATTCAAAGTTATAATGGCAAAAAATGACTTATGACTGTTTTTCACATGAGTGTTGCAGCATCCACCTGTGGATCCCCTTTTGCAACCTTCTGACAAGCAAAGTGGGGAAGCCAGATTCACTTAACAACCATATTACTAACTTAATGATTGAATTAACAACTGTGGCATGGACGGCTGTAAAATGGGGCAAAACAGACTTAACAAATATCTCAAAAACAGAAATTTGGGGGTCAGTTGTGGTCATAAGTTGAGGACTACCTATATAATTGTGTGAAAATAATCACAAAATTATCATAAGAAACTTCCTTCAGTCCTCAAAACTATCCATGACCGACTGGGGCAGGAAACTATGTTGTAATCAAAGTTAATACAGTATATTGTTTTGTAAAATACTATAAGATTGCTAAAAACACACCTCTGCTGAACAATCAGATGACAAATACAGAAACCAATTACCCTTGCAAGAGTTATAAAACAAAGAAACCATTTGCCCACACTTCCTCAAATCCACAAATAAACTGCCCAGACAAAATTTACACAACAAAGAAGGAAGCCTACAGATACAAGGAAGGACAATTAGGGCTAAGCCACAAACATAAGGAAGGACAATTACGGCTAACCTTTGGGCAGAATCATACACCAAAATGAACACGTACACATCCACACTGCACAAACTCCACACAAAAGACCAGTCCCCTATAAAACAACCCCTTTGTACCTCATCTTTTCTGCAGCTATCTCCAGGAATGAGCCTTTTTTTTTTTTTTTGCTTTTGAGATTAAATGAATTGCCTCCTTTTTACAGCAGAGTGCCTTGTGTCTTATTTGCAGAACTGGACTTAGATCGGAACCTGAAATTCTTCTAATAGTTGGACAGGGCCGAAGGAGTGGAGCTTAAGTAAGCCATTATTATCTTTTCCATCTTAGCATTAGTTTGTAATGTACAACATTGCAAAGAACTTTGAATGCATCAAAGCTCTATTCAGGGCTTTTCAACCAATGGTACGGGTACCACCTGTGGTACATTGGCACCTGGCAGGTGGTACGCGACCATCCTAGAAAAGTGGTAGCGGGGGAGGGGAATGAGCTGAACTGGTGGTAGCACCGCATAAGCCTGAGCGAGAGATGGCTGGAGCTGCAGGGCTGTCAGGGCTCAGAGGAAGCTCCAGGATCAGCGCTTCGGGGCTGTCAGGGTTCAGTGGAAGCGCCAGGGTCAGTGCCAGGCTCCAGCTGGAGTTCGGTGCTGATCCTGGTGCTTCTTCTGAGCCCGGAAGAAGTGCTGATCAGCTGGAATGTTGCAGCATCTCCAGGGTCTTGTGATTTACATTCAGATGCTTGGCAACGGATTCATATTTATGACGGTCACAGTGTCCCAGGGTCATGTGAAGTGAGCAAAACCTGCTGCAACCACCCAGCAGACGGGGGGAATAAAAACCAAACACCCCCCACCCCACCCCCGCTGCCAATCCTCAACAGAAATGCTCACAACAATGAAAACCTTGGACAGGAGGAAGAGCGCCGCCGGGTGGGCAGGCAGGTGTCTTGCTCGGCTGTGGCTTGGGGGACACTTTTTTCAGTGCCATTGTAACTTCGAACAGTCACTACGCAAATTGTTGTAAGTCGAGGACTACCTGTATTTTATCATTTTTTTCCTTTTTTGGGGGGGGGTCATCAAGTTTTTGACACCTTGCTAGGCGACTGGTGGTACTCGGATATTGCCATATCCTAAAAGTGGTACAATAGGTGAAAAGGTTGAAAAGCCCTGTGTTAGAGGATACTCTAAAATTAGCACCCACAACTTATCTGATCCAGACAGTGCTTTTATTATTATTAGTCTTGTTGGTAATTTACATTGTAAGAAATTCTGTTGAAAGTAGAAAGACTGAGTCTTCTAATAAGAGGAACTTTCAAATAATGACATCTACAGCAGAACAGATTCTAGAATTCAAGGCCCTCCAGCTATTCTCAGAATGTCTCTCCATTAATTAAAAACTGACTGGGATTGCCTGGAACTTGAGTCCAACAATAGATAAGAGACCCAGAGATTCGGTACCCCACAGACATAGTGGAAACATTTATTTTCTCAAAGGGTAGATTAAAAAATGGAAGACAAGCTATTTGAAATACAATTTGGCCAATATAATCTTCATCTGTACCATGCCACTATTTTCTTAGCATATTATACAAACGAAGTAATAGTGTTTTTTAAAATCTAGGTTGGGGGTTTATTGCATTGTGTGAACTTAACTAAAGTTTATTTTCTAAGATACTTATTTTACATGTCTTCTGTAGAAAGAATTATTTGACACTGATAAAGGGAAACATTTTTTTAATCAAGATCCATGCACTTACAAACCTCATGTAACAGGTAGAAATTCTACCGAGGAAGCTCTTCTGATTATTTCACTTTGTTCTAGACTGGTAGATTTCCTTATTCATCCACAGAGGCACTAGGTAACAAAAGCAAGAAGTTCTGCCAGGAGAGAAAAAGTATTTTTATTCGCATCTGATGTTTCTATCAATTTTTTCCTGGCAGAATTCCCATCAAATCAGACAGAACACGTGTTTTCATATCACCACATCTTTAGTGGGAGAAATGTCATTATTGAATGTAAGACACCTAGGAACCTAGCCAGGATAGTTGAAATATTTCTGGAACTTTCATCGCATGCTGGATGTGCCCCCAGGTTCTCTGCGGGTTCACCCTGAGTTCTTGATTCCAACTGGGTAGATGCTGGGGGAGGAGTGGAGTAGGCAGCCAGCCAGCCAGCGTGCATGTTCCCTCTTTATCTGAAGAACATAAATGCTGCAAATGATAGTTCAGGCCAACTAGCAGAAGGAGCCCATTCAGGAAATTGGACAGTTAGCCAACCAGTTCCAACTCTTCAGTTCTTAACCCGTAATATGCCAAAGTTCCTTCTGCCTTGTCTAATTTATATGAATTCATAAGGGTTGGGGTTTGTTTGGTTTTTTTTGCAATTTTCAGAAGTTTATTTGGCTTACTTTTCTATATGTGAGGTAGCAGGAAATTCAAAATATAGTAGTGTCAAAGCTGAACGGGGCTTTGCTTTTTAAAACAAAGAAAAAAACCTGCAAATTTTCCAAATCGAAGTTTCTAGTTTTGCCCACTTTGAACATCTGACCCCCATCTGCTAGGGGTATCAAAAGGTTGCCTACTCGTTTGCCAAATAGCAGTAAATAGAATCAATTCCTTGCCAATCTTCTTTTTCCAGAAGTACCAAATGATATTGCAAAAAAATAAAAAAAAACTAGGAACAAGGAAATCAGCTTCTCC